GCTCAGCTGCTAACCAAAAGGTTGGCAGTTTGAATCCACCAGCTGCTCCTTGGAAACCCTATGGGGCAGTTCTACTCTGTTCTGTAGGGTCACTATGAGTCAGAATCAACTCAGTGGCACACAACAACATGGTAGGTGAAATAGTCACAGTGTGCACAATTTATCATGGGGCAAATGTTCAGAACATGTTCCTGCCCATCTTTTCCACATCATGTGTTAATATCCACCTCAGATTGCATTGGAATATGTTATTCCAGGGAACATTATCATTTGAGGATGTGGCTGTGGGCTTCACCTGGGAGGAGTGGCAGTTATTGGACCTCTCTCAGAAGGACCTGTACAAGGATGTGATGTTGGAGAACTACAACAATCTGGTATCAGTAGGTAAGGGCAGCATCACGGGGTATGGAGTGACTGATTGCTTTTATATGGCCTTTCTGGCCATGATCTTAAGGAGTCCTAGTGGTGCAGTGGTTAAAGTGATCAACTGCTAACCAGAAGGTTGGCAATTCGAAACCACCAGTGGCTCCATGGGAGAAAGATGTGGCAGTCTGCTTCTGTAGAGATTTACAGCCTTGGAAACCCTGTGGGGTTGCTATGTGTTGGAATCAACTTGATGGCAGTGAGTTTGCTTTTTTGTTTTCAGCTGTGGTCTTGTAACTCTCATCAAATGATTGGGTAGTACTATGCTGATAAGGTTATTGTGGCCCACCAAGGGGATTGGACAGCTTGCTAATAATAATGCAAATAAGGTGTATGGCACCTTTGTGGAGGTAAGACCATGCAAATAAGGTGTATGGAACCCTAATGAAGAGATTAGTCAGTTTTGCCATCCTACTGGGATTAAATGAGCCATACCAGAGGCAGAAAGGGGGGAATCTCACTACCACTAAGAAGCAGAGACGGAAGTGAAGCGCATCCCTTGGACCTGGGGTCCCTACGTTGATAACCTCCTAGACCCAGGAGACAGAGATAGAGAGCTGTAACACCAGAGGTGGTCTAAGATGGGAAGCAGTGGCAGTAGAACCAGGGAACTGGCACGAGATGGTGCAGTGGGTTTCCTGTCCCAAGGAGTAACATGGTACGGAGCAGTGAATTACTTAATATGGCCCTTCTAGCCATAGTCTTTATGACTCCCACACAATGATTGGGTGGGATAATGCAAGAAAAGGTGCTTGTGGCCCACCAAGGGGATTGGACAGCTTGCTGCTATTGCACATAAGGTGTATGGAACCTGTGATGGGTAAGGTTATGTGTCAACTTGGCTATACCATGATTTTCAGTGTTTTAGCAGTTATGTAATGATATAGTCATCCTCCATTTTGTGATCTGATGTAATTATACTCCATTTTATGATGTGCTGTAAATCTTAGCCTCTGTGCCTGTGGTTATGTGAGTTGTCCGTTATGTTAACGAGGCAGGATTAGGGTAGGATGTATCTTGAGTCACCTCCCTTATCCCAGTTACTACCATTATGGTTCTTACTCAAGTCACACCCTTGTACCACCTTGCTCAAGTAATGGACGTTTCCTTGAGGGTATAGTCTGTATCCAGTATATATAAATTCTCTGGAAAAGTTCTCTCTCTTGCTCTGGATCCTGCATCCAGCTCGTCTTCATCTTACCTCCGGTTCTTGAACTTGAGCCAGTAGTAGCCTACCGTCTCACCTGGTTCGCCAACTTCTGCAGCCTTGTAAGCCAGCAGCCTGTTATCTGACCTGCTGATATGAGTTTGTTGACCCCTGCAGCCATGTGAGTCAGGAGAAGCCTATGCCTGACCCATGGATTTGGGATTTGCCAGCCTCCACAACTGTGTGAGCCATTTCCTTGACATTCATGAGTTCTTTGAGACGTTGCAGTGAACTAGGGAACCCAAAGACAAAAAGGAGAGTACTGAGGGGAGGAGTAGTTGATGTTAGAGATGATGGAGTAGTATAGCAGTTTGGAAAAGTTGGACATTTGGGACATCTTTAACTTTTGCCTCATAGGATGCAGCTTTGTACTGATCTTTCTAAAAGAAATTATGCGTTCAGGCAGTTACAGTGGGTGTACTGACCCACAGAGCAAGAGATACAAAGTTTGATGGTGGAATGGGGTGCCCCTGGTCACTTACTGACAGAGCTAAAGAGCTTTCTAACACTTGCCCAAGCAGAGCAGAGACTGGGCCAAGGGGCAGTGCAGCTGAGGGGCCAAGGGCCAGAGAGAGCCTTGCTTATAGGCACGGCTGAGAAGAAGCTGTCCTGATTGAAGAACTGTATCCTGAGTCATTCCTGATCCTGAATTTTAACCTGTTACTTCCCTAATAAACCCTATAACTGTGAGTAGGATCTATGAGTGGCTATTGCAACAAATTATTGAACCCAACAGAAGGGTAGCGAGTGCCGTGGGAGGGATGGCTGGTGTCAGAATTGGTCAAATGATTAGAGAGAGAAGATATGTCTGATATCCGCCTCATAGGAATCAGCTTTGGGCTGATGCTGAGGGTGATTTTCTCTTCCCCTTGTGAAGTTAGTGGAGGTCAGATGCCCCACCATGCCATTTTTACACAGAGTCACTTACTGTGGGTCCATCAATCGTCTTTTCTTTCTTATTTGGTGAAATCTTTGTGGCCCCATGAATATTGTGTTTGGAGTAAAGTTGTAGGTCATAGATATTTATTATCTTTGGCCCTAGAGTGTATGCTCTCCTCTCCTGACTAAAAGGCTTTTACTTAGCAAAGTACAAATACCATGGTCCCTGAAATACAATGTTCAATTTTCCTAGCTTCCCCCTGCATAAGTATTTGGTGCCAAGCGTTCAGTCATTTCCCTTTTTACAGGATATCAGGGTACCAAACCAGATTCAGTCTTCAAGCTGGAGCAAGGAGAAACACCATGGATAGTGGAGGGAGGAATCCACAGTGGGACCAGTCCAGGTGAGTGAGTGACAAGCCAGACAGTGGGCAGAAATGACACTAAAATCCCAGGTGGTCATTGAAGGGTTGACACTTTTGAAATGTTTTATATAGAACTCTTCTTGTACCAGCTGGTGACCAAGAAAGCTAATCAACCCCTTTAACATCTTTGTTCTTTATTAGGGCTGTTTTCCTTTGCCTGTTTTTAAAGGACTATGTCTCCCCCTTTTTCTTTCTTCTGAATCTGATCACAGTCTATCTCATGTAGGACCTTCATTTCTTGCCTGGTTCCATTCTTCCCAGCATCCTCACATCTTCTCCTTTTCTTCCGTGGCTGTCTCACTTCCTGTTGTCTAACTTCCTGTCTATGAAGTTCCCCCTCTCTGCTCCTGCAGATAACGTCGCAGTCAGCACTGTTGTCTGCTTGTTCATATCTCTACCCCTTTTTGAAAGAGTTGATCTTCCTTCCTGACAATCCACCTCACTTTAGTTCATTTTAAAAAAACCACACACATCTCGTCTCTCAGGGCACTTTATCTACTTTTTCTCCCCCTGCTTCCCTGACTACAGATTCAGTTTTGTTGTCTTCTGCTTGATTCTCATATTAAGAGTTCAGTTCATTCACAGGCCTAAGCTCTCTGTTCTCTGATGGAGACTTCCAAATTGACACCTTCCTTATAATGTCTAATCTGTACTCCATCCTATGTATTTTGCTAGCCACCAGGGCAGCTTCGCTAGGATTTCCTGCTACCTATATGAGAAAGTAGAGCCCTGGTGGTGCAGTGGTTAAGAGCTATGACTTAACCAAAAGGTTGGCAGTTGGGATCCACCAGCCACTCCCTGGAAACTGTATGGGGCAGTTCTGTTCTGTCCTATAGGGTCGCTATGATGGCAGCGATTTTTTTTTTTGTAGCACAAAGGATACGAAAGAGGCACATGGAATGAGATCTGGGAGGTTCCCCACTATAGAGTTTCCATGTCCCCATGGACCATTACCCTCCCAGGGCATCGATGTTCATCATTAAGCTGGAAGCTCACCAGAACTTCTTTGTCTGGAGTTTTTATTGGGGTTTCATTGAGTATGCATGATTGACTGAATCATTGGTCACATGACTGAACTGAATCTCCAGCTTCCTTCCCCTCCCTGGAAGTCAGGCTGATAACATGGGATGTGTCTCTCTGGTGGGGCCAGTCCCCATCCTTAGTCATCTCCTTACCATAAACTCTAAAGTGTGGTCTGGAGCCCTCCGTGAATAACAGACACTCAAATCACTTAGGAAATTCCAAGAGTTTAGAGGTTACCTCCCAGGAACTGGGGACAAATATCAAAGTCGTTGTGTACAGTAATTGTTCACTCCACCATATCGAAGATTTCAACTCTGTACTCTGATATAGAAAAAAAATCAAAACCTACTTCTGTGACCTCAAACTGTAGAGATCAGTTCAGTTCAATTCTTTATCAACTCTATTACTAACTATTCCAGTTTTGTTATGACACTAGCTACATATACAGTACTTTTTTCTCTGACTCTAACCAACCAGAGATAGGTAGGATCTCGTAAGATAAAGGGCACAGTCCCCCGGACTGCGAAGTTTGCCTGAGACCTTAGATGCCTACTGGTAGTCCCCATGGCACCATCACTTCTGACCTCCTGGCTGCAGATTTGAGGTTTTCCCACTGTCCCTTCAATATGCCAGCCATAAGCTTGGGAGTATCCAGGACCCCCCTCCCTTCTGACCTCCTGTCTCCTACTATTGCCATGGGTTCAATAATTTGCTAGAGCGACTTGCAGAACTTACGGAAAGTGCTATGCTTATAATTACAGTTTTATTGTAGCAAAAATGATACAAATGAAGAGATGCATAGGGCATGTTGTGGGAGGGTTCCCAACGAGGAGCTTCCATATCCCAAAAAGGGATGTGCTACCCTCCCATGTGCATTGGTGTCTATCACCAACCAGGAAGCCCCTGGAGCCTCACTGTTAAGAACATTTATTGTCATTATTGTTGTTACTAGGTTACATGAGGACTGCATCAGTGCAATTGATAGTGTTGCAATTTTTACATCTAGGTACTTCTTTTTACCTCTGTGAATTCATTTTATAGTACTTCAGTATGCACTTGGAATTTCTCCTTTCCTGAAATCTTATTCTTCTTTGTATTCATACCACACTAACTCGGTCATGATCTTATGTTACATTGTACTGTTTTACTGGTCGGTATGAGGTTTCTTTTTTCATATAGAAAGAAGAATCTGATCATTCCTCCTTATTGAATTGTAGACCACATAGTAATTCACTAAGGACATCAGTTTACCTCCATCTTCTTTTGTTCTATTCCAGTTATAATTTTTTTCTGTTTCTACTTCTGTCTCCGTTTTGTAGGGTCGGAAAGCCGTCCATGTTGTATTTATTCATTGTACACTACCCAATCATTGTTTCTACAGTAGTTGGTTTTCCTTTTACTGTTTTTTTTTTCTCCACAGAGGGTACATTTTCACAGGGTACATTTGTTATGACTGGTATCTTATAAGACCTAGCCCAGACTGTAGCATTTTTGTACACCGCCCCCCAAAATAATTGTGGATCTTTTCATTGTTCTTTTTCCTAGAAGAAATATGGGCGATTGACCATATGCAGCGGCACCCAGAAAACCAAAACGAGCTTAAAAGTTTGGAAAGATGTCTGCAAAATTTTACACTTGGAGATAATTTTGGTTTAAGAAAAAATCTTGCTTTTTTAACACAAAGACACAATACATTTGACTCACACTGTAGAAGTTTGCAATCCCATTTAGATTTTGTTATCCAGAATAAAAGAGATATAGGAAAGGATTCTGATGAGTTTAGTGGTTACGGGAAATCATCTGTCCACATGAAGCATGATAATACTTTCCCTGGAATTAAATACCATGGATGTGTTAAACCCAGTAGTGCTAAATCACAGCTCAGTGGCCATCCAAAAACTTATACAGAAGAGCAACCGCATAAATGCAGTGAATGTGGGAAAGTCTTTTCAAAAAGGCCACTGCTTTTGTACCATCAGAGAATTCATACAGGAGATAAACCTTATGTATGCAGTGAATGTGGAAAAGCTTTTACTTGGGAGAGCCGGCTCAAGAGACATCAGCGATCTCATATTGGTGAGAAACTCTATGGATGCAATGAGTGTGGGAAGTCATTTTCTCAGAAGGCATACCTCATTGTACATCAGAGACTTCACACAGGGGAGAAGCCTCATGAATGCAGTGACTGTAGAAGAACCTTTGCTTTTAAGTCAGCCCTGACCAAGCATCAAAGAATTCACACAGGAGAGAGACCTTATGAATGTAGTGAGTGTGAAAAAGCCTACCGATGCAAGTCTGAGCTCATTCAACATCAACGAACTCATAACAGAGAGAGACCATATGAATGCAGTGAATGTAAAAGAACCTTCCTGTTTGAGGCAGCCCTGACAAATCATCAAAGAATTCATACAGGAGAGAGACCTTACGAATGTAGTGAGTGTGAAAAAGCTTTCAGAAGCAAGTATAAACTCATGCAACATAAGCAAACTCATACCAGAGGAAGACCATATGGATGCAGTGAATGTGGCAAATCTTTTACCCACATGTCATTCCTCATTAAGCATAAGAAAACTCATTCAAAAGAGAAAGTGATAAATTCACTGAAGGTGGGAAGACCTTCCTCAGGGAGTCATAGCACTTTATACAAGAGTGAACTCATCCAGAAATAAAACACCATGAATACCATGCCAGTGGAAATGCCTTATTCAGGAACTCGGCCTTAAATCTCAGTGAGCTTGTAGGGGGTAGAAATACTGTGATTGATTGTGGAATATCCATTTGAAGAAGTCAGGCCTCAGTAAATAATCAGGAATTTTCACAGGGAGTAACCCTTGCAAATTTAGTGAATGTGACAACACCTGTAATAAACATGTCTTAAATGTTACAGATATTGGTCAGGGAAAAAAACAAACTCAGATACTAGAAATGTGAAAAATGTCTTCCTATAAGATATGTAAGGATCCCCTGAACATTTTTTGTCAGCTAATTTAGGAGAGGAACACTATGGATGCAGTGGCTCTGGCAAAGCCTTCTGTGGGAAGGTAGAATTATTAAATATGTGTGATATCATCTTGGGTAGAAATGTAGCTGTTGTGGGGAGGCATTTGACTGGAAGTGATGTCTTAAATGCTGTCATAGAAATTCTCACAGGTCCAAAACCTTAGGAAAGAATGTGATGTTTTCAGTGATAAATTTTTACCTCATTACATGTTGGAGATGCAGAAAAAAAACTCTTCATACATGAAATATGGGAAACGTTTTTGGTAAAATGTGGAAGAATTCATAGAAAAGAGAAATACCTTATATAAGCAGGAGGCAAGGTGGGTTAACCCACCTAGAATTGGCTCCAGGCTTTGTCTTCCCACATCTCCATTCCTTGTCACCAGCTACTTCAAATGGCATACCAACCGCATAGACTTAGATGAGACCTTACGAGTAAAAGAACTTAGTCCTTCAGACTGCCAAATGTACAAATGCGATTCTCTGTGCTGGCTCTCCCTGGAGCCTGTGGGTTTGTTAATTCCTTGGGATGACTAACAGAATTCACTGAGAGCATCTAAACTTATGTTACCCATATATTATAACCAGAATGATACAAACAAAGAGAAGCATCAGTTGCGGTTTGTTAAAAGTGCAGACAGGAGGCCTTTATTGTTGCCAGGGTCATGTCATCCTTTCCATATGTGAGCCTGAGAAACTCGTGGATTTCTCACCAGTCAGGAAGACCAACTGATACTGTGTTCAGGGCTCTTTTATAATATTGCATATGCATGATTGGGGCCTCAATTCATAGACATGATTGATTGAGTCAAGAATAAGAATGATTAATTATATCATGCCTTCTTCCCTTCTTGAGGTTTTCTGCCATGTGTGGTGTTAGGGGCTTCCAGCTCATTTGCACATGTTTAAGTATTGCTTGGATGTTTTAGGGAAAAAAAAAAGACTCCTTGATTGCTTGAAAAATTCCAAGGGCTGTTTTCAGGAATCAGAGACAAAGGCCAAATCAAGTTCTTTGTCCCACACCCCTGAAAGCAATATATGATGGAAATTCTATCACCAGTCTGCAGGGCAATGAGTTAATCTGTTTTTACATGATCTTTCTGCCCATGGTCTTATAACTCCCACAAAATGATTGGGTAAGACTATGCTAATAAGGTGTGTAAAACTCTTACTGGTATTGGCTGGGACTATGCAAATGATCTGTGGCCTCAAAGGGATTGGTCATTTTGCCATCCCACTAGACTTAAAAAGAGCCAATCCCACAGGTTGAGGGGGGACCTCCCTGCCATCAAGAAGAGCTGGGAGCAGAGCACATCCTTTGGACCCAGGGTCCCTGTGCTAAGAACCTCCTAGACCCAGCAGATGGAGAGCTGTAACACCAGAGAGCTGTAACACTGGCCAGTGCAGCAGTATGAGCAGGCGCATGAGATGGCTGTGGTGGCTTCCTGTCCCACAGCACAAGGTGGCTGCAGTGGGCTTGCCGACCCACTGTGCAAGAGAGCTAAGCGCCTTTGGACAGGAGGCTTGGCGGATTGAGGTGACTCCAGGCACGTGTCAGTGGAGCTAAAGAGCTGTAACACTTGCCTGAGCAGGGGTTGGCAGCAGAAGCCTGCCTATAGGCACAGCCAAGAATAAGTTGTCCTGACCGAAGAACCATATCCTGAGTTGTGCCTGTTACTTCCAAGTTGATCCTGATCCTGAACTGTAATCTGTTACTTCCCTAATAAACCACATAATTGAGAGTATGGTCTGTAAATTCTGTGTGGCCATTGCCGTGAATTACTGAACCCAGCAGAGAAGTAGAGTGCGCCATGGGGAGGACAGCTGGTGTCAGAATTGGTGAAAAGGTTGGAGAGTGGAGGTATGTTTGACCTCTACCTCATAGGCATCTGTCTTGGGCTGCCCCTGATGGTGATTATTCTCCCTCGTGAAGTTAGAGGACTTTAGCTGCTACCACTTTATACAACATAACTCATATATCACATTTTTATACCTTTAGAATATGGGAAAGGCTTCTCCATTAAATGAAATCTTTGTGGACACCAGGAATGTTGTTATGTAATGAAAAATGGTGAATATAATGAGTGTGGAAATACAACTGTATTAGTTTCTTATTGCTGGTATAACAAATTACCACAGATTTACTTGCTTAAAACAACATGAATTTATTATCTTACAGTTATGGAGATTAGAAGTCTGGAATGGGTCTCACTAGACTAAAGTCAAGGTGTTGGCAGGGACGTGTTCCTTTGTAGTCTCTAAGGTAGAATCCTTGCCTTCCCAGCTTCCAGAATCTGCCCGCATTCCTTGGCTAATGGTTCCCTTTCATCTTAAAAGTCAGCAATGGCTGGTCAGGTCTTTCATCACTCTGACACTGACTCTTCTGCTTCCCTCTTGCTCATTTAAGGACTGTTAGGATTACATTAGGCCTTACTGGAATAATCTAGGGTAATCTCCCTATTTTAAGATCATTTTATTAACAATCTTCATCAGTTTTAAGTCTCCTTTGCGATGTAATAGAACATAACAGTGTCTAGGGTTTAGGATACGGACATTTTGGGGAGGCCACTATTAGGTCTGCTATAGTCCATCCTGTGGCCACGAGTGAGTGATTCATATCTATCTCACGTGCAAAATATATTCACTCTATTCCAACATTCCCAAAAGTCTCAACTGCCTTACCACATCAACTCAGAGTCCAAAATCTCATCTAAATCTTAACAGTTCAGAAGTCTCAATTCTCTTCTAAAGCATTTATATTAGGTAAGGTTGAGGTTCTGGGTATGGGTTCATCTTGAGGCATAATTCCTCTCCATATGTGAACCTGTGAAATTCAAGAAATATATAGTCCCAAAATAGTTCATTCCACCTGCTACCTTAATTTCCCTTAGCTATATAATGTAAAAATATTCACATGTTCTAGGGATTAAGATATGCCCATTTTAGGGAGGTCATCATTCTGCCAAGGGAGTTCTGGTGACACAGTGGTTAAAGCACTTGACTGCCAACCTAAAGGTCAGTAATTCAAACCTACCAGCTGTTCTGAGGGGGAAAGATGTGGCAGCCTGCTTCCATAAAGATTTACAGCCTTGGAAACCTTATGAGGCAGTTTTACTTTGTCCTGTAGGGTCACTATGAGTTGGAATTGACTTGGTGGCAATGGGTTTGGTTTTATTTTTCTGCCTATCACAACAGTTACATTAAATTTCAGAGATTTCTCACTGCTTTCAAGACTTCTGTAGTTTTCAGAAGAAAATTTATCATGAATTCCTTTGGCATATCCTGTCTGAGGTTTTCATAACTACTTGGACTGTATGGTTTTTGTCTTGCCAAATTTAGGAAATTATCAGCCTTCATTTTTTTCAAATACTTTTTTAGCTTCACCATCTTTCTCCTTTCCTTCTGGACTCCAGTGACGTGAATGTTACATGATTTGTTATAGTCCTACAGGTCTGTGAGACTCTGTGTAAATTTTTCATTCTATTTTCTCTCTGTTGTTCAGATTGGATAATTTTTATTGTTATATCTTTAAGATCACTGATTCTTTGCTGTTTATATTCTATTGTGCTCATCCATTGAGGTGTTTTTTTTTTTTCTTTTTTGTTTATTGTATTTTTCAGTCTTAAAATTTCTATTTGGATCTTTGTATGTTTGATTCCTTTGTCAAGACTTCCTGTTTTTCCTGTTTCAGGTGTGTTCGTAAATGATCTTTGAAGCATTTTTTTTTTTATGGCTACCTTAAAATCCTTGTCAGATAATTTTAACATCTGTAATATCTCTTTGTTGGCATCTGTTGATTGTGTTCTCTTATTAAACTTTTTTTAAATGTCTTGTTGTGATGAGTTATATCTTTTGTATCCTGGACATTTTGGATATTGTGTTATTAGACTATGGATCTTATTTACATCTTCTCAGGAAGCGCTGGTGAGGTAAGGAGGGCATTGCCTCAATACTACCAAGTGGAGGTGAAAATCTAGGTTTCCTCTTTGACTTTCTTTGACATGGGATTGGAGAGCTAGGCAGTTGTGAGATTTCTGGCTTGGCACTAGGTCTTTTTTGATACCACCTTCGCTGTCATGGGGAAGGGTTCCTAGTTGGTGTTCCCCACATGGCATCCAGTGACAGGGTAGGGATGGGGAAGGAGACCACCTTATATGTGAATGGTAGTAAAAGTTCCTGTTTCCTGCTCAGTGTCCTCTGACACCACTTCAGCAGGGAGAGGGAGGGCCATTTAATTATTGCCGGATGAGTGTGGAAGTCCAAGGTCCTCACATGGCCTCCAGTGACAACACTGGGGGACCATGTTATTGCTGGATGGAATGAAAGTCCTGGTTGCCCTTTCAGTCTTCTCTGATGCCATCTGAGCAGAGGTGGTAGGTTGAGGTTTTGAAGGGATGGAGGGGGAAAGCCAGTTTGGCCGTTTCTTAAACTAAATACATACTTGCATTATGACAGCAGTGGTACTCCTGGCCATTTATCCTAGAGAAATGAAAATTTTGTTGTTTTTGTTGGTTGCTGTTGAGTTTATTCTGACTCATGGTGACCCCATGTGTTCATAGTAGTACTGCTCCATAGGGTTTTCAAGGCTGTGACACCAAAAATTTGTGTTGTAAATTCTAAGCCCTATATCTGTGTATGTAATCCCATTTGGGAATAGGGTTTTCTTTGTTATGTTATTGAGGCCATATCAGTGTAGGGTATGTCTTAAGTCAATCACTTTTGAGATGTGAAAGGACAGATTAGATACAGAAGAAAGCAGGCACAGGGGAGAAGACCTACACTATTTGAAAATGATGTAGGCAAACTGGTCTACAAGCCCCAGAACTACAAGGATGGCCTTCTAGAGAAGTTGAGACAAGGATGTTCTCCAGAGCCGACAGAGACATCCCCTAGAGCTGGAGCCCTGAAATCAGACTTCTAGCCTCCTAAAATGTGATTAAATACATTTCTGTTCGTTAAACCCACTCACTTGTGGTTATTTCTTTATAGCTGTACTAAAAAATTAAGATAGATATACTCAACTACTTGAAATGAATGAACTATACAGATGGAGAACAGATTATAGTGATTTCTAGAGGTTAAAAAGGGGGCAAGGGAAGGAAGATGGATGTTACTATAAAGGGGTAGAACAAAGGATCTTTGTGGTGATGAAACACTTTTGTATCTTGATTTGTGTTTACAGGACTATGCATGTGATAAAATTTCATAGAACTTTGTACACACAAGTGCATGAATGTTTACATGTAAAACTGGTGATACCTGAATAAGTACTGTGGATCATACCAATGTCAGTTTCCTGTTTTTGATATTATACCGTTGTTATACAAGGTGTTACCTTTGGAGAAAGCTGGGTGAAGGGAACATGGGACCTCTACTATTTTTGCAACTTCCTGTGAATTGAGTCTATAATTATTTCAAAATAAAAAAGTTTTTAAAGGTGGAAAAAAAAGCTGATCTCCATTCTTTTGTTACCTTCAATGAGTTAAATATTTTCTTATTTTTGGGCATTGAGGCTACCCTCATTCATATGTTGTGGTGGTTCATTTTCTGTGTCAACTTGACTAGGCTATGGTGCCTAGTTGTTTGGCCAAACTGTAGTTGCTGTTATGGTAAAGTTACATGTGATTAAATCAGTAGGCTTTAAGTAAAGCAGATTACCCTCCATGATGGGAGTGGGCCTCATTCAATTAACTGAAGGTTTTAAGAGCAAAAGCGGAGTTTCCCTATGGTTTTGTTCTGCCTCCAGACTATAAGTAGATATTTTTGTAGATTCTTCACTCTTCCTCTTGCCTGACGTATGATTTTTGGACACTAGCCTGCAGGAGTCTCCAGCCTGTTGCCTGACCTACAGTTTTTGGGCTTGTCAGCCCCACCTCCACCACGATTTTGTGAGCCAGTTCCTGGAACTAAATCTCAATCTCTCTCTCTAGATAGACAGATGTTGTTTGCCAGCGAGTCAATTCTGACTCATATTGACCCTTCATGACAGAAAAGAACTACCCTATAGGGTTTCTGAGGCTATAATTTTTACGAGAGCACATCACCAGGTCTTTTTTCCTGAGGAGCCACTGGGTGGGTTCAAACAGCCAAACTTTTGATTAGCAGCCAAGCAGTTAACCATTGCACCACCAGGGCTCCTTGATAGATAGGTAGATACAGATACAGACTATATGTATACATACACATTTATGTTATATATGTATTTCATAGGTTCTGTGCCTTTGCACACTGGTTTGTTTATCTCAATATATATTTCTAATAAAGGATGTGTTTTCTTATATTGCATTTTAGGACACATTTTCTTCTAGATAGGTTGTATTGTTTATACACCAAACAGAAGTGTATGCAAATGAGTATTTTCTCACATACATGACAAACATCGGATTGTTACAGTTTTATTCTGACAATATTGCCCAATATGGTATTTTATCTTGTTAATATTTTGTATTTTTTTGATTTCTGCTAAATTGGACCACTTATTGGGTGGGCAGTCAACGTGAGTCGGATTTGGAGGAATGAGTAGGAGTTATTCCATGAAGGACCCTTTTTGACCTCTGCTGTCTCATTGTAGGTGGAGATCATAATACCTTGCTGTGAAGAAGAAAATCCAATCATCAACTTAAAACTTGAAATCTCCCCAAGTACAATTTAAAGCTCCAAGCAGCAGGGCATTTTTTTGTGTGTATATAGCTCTTTTATGTTCAGCGCGCAGAACAGTTCTTCACCCATAGTAGGCATTTTATAAACATTTGTTACATGAATGAATGAATGATCAATCATCCCATTAGTTGGAAGGCTGAAGAGTGTTTTCAAATGTCTTGCGTAAGTGACGTAAATCCTGAGCCTTGCTCTTTAATTATGGGAGAGGGTTTGGCCCGGGCTACTTACCAGTTCAGTTAATCAATCAGGCCTCATTATTAAACAGAACCACTTCCCCTTCTGTGAGCTTTTGATTCCAGGCATTTCTCACCTGTGTGGACGAAAAGTTCCTTAGGCTTTTGGTTCTGCGCAGGTGAACGGGAAAGCCACGCCTCTGCGTTGGCTCAGCCACTGTTGTGTCCCCTGATCATCCCTTTCCCCCATCCTTGTGCTCCCCCACCCTCAAAACAAGAGATGTTTCACCCGCTGTTTTGCCCATTTTGTGACTGACAGCTTCTCCAGAAATGTAGCTTCCTCCAAAAAGCTCCCTTCAGCCAGAAGGATTCCTAGGATGCCAGCTGGTTCCCTCCAAGAGTTGCTGGGGTTCTCTCCGTACGGACTTGAACTTCCTCTAAGATGGCCGCACTCACTTGACTTCTCCCCGCCTGTCTGAGGCTAAACGTGCCTGAAAGTCCGCGATCATCTTTGCCCAACCTGGAGAGAGATCGTGTCAGGCTTCAGCGGTTTGTTTAGCGCTCTTGGCAGATTTTGTAAACTGGACGCCCAGTGGTTGAGTTGGCCTTGAAATGGGGCAAAATAGGTCGTTTTCAATTGCCTCTCATGGTCCTGTGCCTTACGAGTAAGAAGTGAGAAGCGCAGCGTCGCCCTCTGTACGGCTGTTGGTTGATAAATGGCCGCTCCCGGCACGTATCCGCGAACCGGCGCGCGTATATTACGTAATAAACGGAGGCCTGACGGCCAGAGTCCGAATTTCTGGAAAGACGCCAGGTGGCTCTTCTCGACCGCTATCCCTAAAGCTTCTGTGGGTTCAGTCAGCCGCGGAGGTGTGGCCCTGGGGTGAAGGGCCCAGAGGAAAAGTGTTTAGAGACGTGAGTTCCGGCATTCGTTTCCAGTCGTCGAGACAGAGGTCGTCTGTCAGGTCAATTTTGGGTTCTGGGGCCGAGAAGAGCGCGTCGGGGTCAGTGTTGAGGGGAGCGAGTGGGGGTCCTCCATGGGGTGGAGTGGGAGTGGTTCCATATTGGAGGATCATTTGGGGGAGCCTTGTTGGGGGTTGCCAGTGGAGGGGGAGCTCGTGGAGTTTTGTGTTGGGGCATGTCGGTACTGAGGTCTGTTAAGAGTAGCACGTAATGGGGTGTCTGCGTTGGGATGTCCGCTGTTGGAGAAGTGAGTCGTGGAGGTCGTGTTGGGGCAGTGTTTGGGAAGTTCCATGTTTATTTTTTATCATATGGTTACTTTAAAGGATGGCTTTTCTGATCCACGTGTCTCCAAGTTTACTGTATAGTCGAATTTTAAATTTGTTTTCAGATTCATTCCGACCCAATTAACGACATTCCCATCATCCTAAATATTCAAAATAACTCTCATTATATTCTGTATATGCTTAGTATATTTCACTTTTACCGTTGGGATCATGTGTTTAGATATTGATTATAATTTTTTGTGATAAATATAACAAAAGTTCTGCCAATTCAGTAATTTCTGTATGTACTGTTCAGTGATATTGATTGCATTCATCATGTTGTACAACTATCAGCACTTTTTTTTTTCCAAATTATTCCTCCACCATTAACAGAAACTCAGTGTCCCCGAAGCAAAGCCATCTTTTTTCTCTCTCTTTTCTATCCCTGGAAAAGTTTTGGTCTCTGTACAATTGTCTATTTCATATAAGTGGGATCATATAATATTTATCCATTTGTGACTGACTCACTTCACTTAGCATGTAAGAATGGCATGGCGGGGTGCGTGACCTCCTCTAACTTCATAAGGGGGAGGACAATCAAGATAAGCAGCCCAAGGCTGATTCCTGTGAGGCAGAGGTCAGATATACCTCCTTTCTCCGACCTTTACCAATTCTGACACCAACCATCCCTCCCACGGCACTCTCTACTTCTCTGTTGGGTTCGATAATTTGTTGCAGTGGCCACACAGAACTCACAGACAATACTCAGGATTATGGGGTTTATTACAATTCAGGATAAGAAACGACTCAGTATACAGTTCTTCGATCAGGACAGCCTCTTCTTAGCTGTGCCGGCAGGCCAGCCTCTCTCTGGCTCTTGGCCCCTTGGCCTGGTCTCTGCCCTGCTCAGACAAGTGTTACAAAAAGCTCTTTAGCTCTGTCAGTAAGTGCCCAGGGGCACTCCACTCTGCCAGTAAGCCTTGGTCTGAAGTCACTCAGCTCTCTTGCTCTGTTGGCCAGGAAGCCCACTGTACCATCTCCTGCTGTTCTCCTGGTTCTGTTGCCTCTACTGCTGCTGTTTCCCTGCCACTGCATCTAGCTGTCTCCAGTGTTACAGCTCTCTCTCTCTTTGTCTCCTGGGCCTAGCAGGTTCTCGGTGTAGAGGTTCTGGGTCCAAAGGACACAGTTCACTCCTGGCTTTTCTTTCTTGGTGTTAGTGTAGTTCCCCCTTTCCACTTCTGGAATGGCTCATTTTAAACCATCCCCCAGATTGACCAATCCCCTTGTTAGGGTTCCGTACACCTTATTTGCACAGCCTCACCCCCATGCAGCTTATTTGTGTTATTGGCAAGCTGTCCATTCCCCTTGGTGGTACACAAGCATCTTATTTGCATAGTACCACACAATCAAGAAAGACCATATAAAAACGATCCATTGCACTGCAACAAGTCACTTTGAAATGTGTCAAAATTAATAACATTTCCTTTATTTCATTGAATCCCCAATCCATGTTCAGTTTTTCTGATCATCTAAAAGTAGTCTTTTAATATTCTATTGTTTGGATCATGATGTAGATGATATGCAGGCATTGCATTTGTTCGTTTTGTCTCTTACATACTATCATAGTTCCCCTTCCTTTTTTTTTTTTTTTTTTGCCTATGCAGTATGATGGATCGTTTATGCAAATAAGATGCTTGTGGCCAACCAAGGGGATTAGACAGCTTGCTAATAATGCAAATAAGGTATATGGAACCCTGATGAGGGGATTGGTCAGTTTTGCTGTCCTTCTAGGCTTAAATTGAGCCATCCCAAAGGCAGAAAGAGGGGACCTCACTATCACCAAGAAGAAGAGAATGGAACGGAGCACTTTTGGACCTGGCATCCCTGCACTGAGGACCTCCTAGACCCAGGAGACACTGAGAGCTGTAACACAGAAGATTTCACAAAATGGTGTAAAAATGGCATGGGGGCAGTGTCTGACCTCTTCTAACTTCACAAGAGGGATAGAGAATCAAGATCAACAGCCCAAAGCTGCTTCCTGCGAGGTAGAGGTCAGACATGCCTCCTCTCTCTGCTATCTTTACCAATTCTGACACCAACTGTCCCTCCTATGGCACTCTCTGCTTCTCTGATGGGTTCAATAATTTGTTGCAATGGCCACACAGAACTCACAGACAATACTAACGATTATGGGGTTTATTAGGGAAGTACTCGTTGCTGTCGAGTAGATTCCGACTCATAGCGACCCTATAGGACAGAATAGAACTGCCCCATAGGGTTTCCAAGGAGCGCCTGGTAGGTTTGAACTGCCGACCTTTTGGTTAGCAGCTGTACCACTTAACCACTACGCCACCAAGGCTTCCATTAGGGAAGTAACAGGTTACAGTTCAGGTTCAGGAATGCTCAGGGTACAGTTCTTCCATCAGGACAGCCTCTTTTTAATCATGCTTGCAGGCACACCTCTCTCTGGCCCTAGGTCTCTGCCCTGCTTAGGCAAGTGTTACAAAGCTTTTTTAGATCTGCTTATAAGTGCCCAGAGGCACCCCACTCCGCCTGTAAGCCTCCGCCTGAAGGCATTCATCTTTATCTCTGTGGATGGGCAAACCTAGCTCTACTAAGTGCCTGGAGGCACCCTACTCCTCTAGCAAGCGTCTTACCCAGAGACACTCAGCTTTCTTGCTCTGTGGGCCAGGAAGCCCACCATGCCATCTCCTGCTGTCATTTCTCTGCCACCGCTTCTCTCTCTCTCTCTGTCTTCTGGTTCCATGAGCTTCTCAGCGCAGGGATTCTGGGTTCAAATGACCCGCTCTCTGCTCCTGGCTGTTCTTCCTTGGTGGTGGCAGCATCCTCTTTCCCACCTCTGGTGTGGCTCATTTCAAGCCCAGCAAGATGGCAAAACTAACCAATTCCCTTGATGGGCCACAATTACCCTATTTGCACAGTCCCACCCAATAACTTAGGGGGGAGTTACCAGACCATAGCAAGAAAGGCCACACAAAAGTGAGAAGCAGTGACAGACAGACAACAGAAACAGAACCAGGAGACCAGTGCGAGATGGGGTGGTAAACTTCCAGGCCCATGGAGCAAGGCGACTATGGTGGGCATGGCAACCCATGGAATCAGAGAGCTGAGTGTCTCTAGGCTAAAGGCTGACTAGTGGAGTAGGGTGCCTCCAGGCATTTATTGGTGGAGCTAAACAGCTTTGTAACACTTGCCAGAGCAGGGCAGAGGCCAGGCCAAGGATCCGAGAGGCCTGCCTGCAGGCATGGCTGAGAAGAGCCTGTGCTGATTGAAGAACTGTGTCCTGCGTTGTTCCTGATCCTGAACTGTAATTTGTTACTTCCCTAATAAACCCTGTCATGGACTGAGTTGTGTTCCCCAAAAATGTCTGTCAACTTGGCTAGTCCATGATTCCCAGTATTATGTGATTTTCCACCATTTTGTCATCTGATGTGATTTTCCTATGTGTTGTAAATCATCTCTATGATATTAATGAGATGGGATTAGCAGCAGTTATATTGATGAGGCAGGACTGAAATCTACAAGGTTAGATTGTGTCTTAAGTCAGTCTCTTTTGAGATGTAGAAGAGAGAAGCAAGCATAGAGACATGGGGATCTCGTGCCACCAACAATGTAGCACTGGGAGCAAAGTGCATCCTTTGGACCCAGGGTTCCTGTGCTGAGAGCACCTAGTCCAGGGGAAGATTGATGACAAGGACCTTCCTCCAGAGCAGACAGAGAGAGAAAGCCTTCCTCTGGAGCTAACGCCCTGAATTTGGACTTCTACCCTACTAGACTGTGAGAGAATAAACATCTGTTTGTTGAAGCCATCCTCTTGTGGTATTTCTGTTATAGGAGCAGTAGATCACAGACACTCACTGACGTGGCATGACTCAAAATAAGAAGAAACAGCTGCAAACATCTATTAATAATCAGAACCTGGAATGTACAAAGTATGAATCTAGGAAAATTGGAAATCATCAAAAATGAAATAGAACTCATAAAGTTCAATACCTAGGCATTAGTGAACTGAAATGGACTGGTATTGGTCATTTTGAATCGGACAATCATAATGATCTTCTGTGCTGGGAGTGACAACTTGAAGAGGAATGGTGTTGCATTCATCGTCAGAAAGAACATTTCCAGATCCACTTTGAAGTACAACGCTGTCAGTGATAGGATAATATCCATACGCCTACAAAGAAGACCAGTTAATATGACTATTATTCAAGTTTATGCACCAACCACTAAGGCCAAAGATGAAGCAACTGAAGATTTTTACCAGCTTCTGCAGTCTGAAACTGAGCGTACATGCAGTCAGGATTCATTGATAATTGCTGGTGATTGGAATGTGGAAGTTGGAAACAAAGAAGAAGGATTGGTAGTTGGAAAGTATGGCCTTGGTGATAGAAATGATAGAGACTGCGTGATAGAATTTTGCAAGACCAACGACTTCTTCATTGCAAATACCTTTTTTCACCAACGTAAACGGTGACTATACACATGGACCTTGCCAGATAGAATACACAGGAATCTAATTGACTATATCTGTGGAAAGAGATGATGGAAAAGCTCAATATCGTCAGTCAGAACAAGGCCAGGGGCCGACTGCAGGACAGACCATTAATTGCTCATATGCAAGTTCAAGTTGAAACTGAAGAAAATTAGAACAAGTCCAGGAGAGCCAAAGTACAACCTTGAGTATATCCCACCTGAATTTAGAGACCATCTCAAGAATAGATTTGACACGTTGAACACTAATGACCAAAAACCAGATGAGTTGTGGCATGACATCAAGGACATCATACATGAAGAAAGCAAGAGGGCATTTAAAAGACAGGAAAGAAAGAAAAGACCAAAATGGATGTCAGAAAAGACTCTGAAGCTTACTCTTGAGCGTCAAGTAGCTAAAACAAAAGGAAGAAATGATGAAGTAAAAGAACTGGACAGAAGAATTCAAAAGATGGCTAGAGAAGACAAAGTATTATAATGACATGTGCAAAGAACTGGGGATAAAAAACCAAAAGAGAAGAACACACTCGACATTTCTCAAGCTGAAAGAACAATTCAGGCTTGAGATGCAATAGTGAAGGATTCTATGGGGAAAATATTAAACGATGCAGGAAGCATCAAAGAAGGTGGAAGGAATACACAGAGTCATTATACTAAAAAGAATTGGTCAATGTTCAACCATTTCAAGAGGTAGTGTATGATCAAGAACCGATGGTATTGAAGGAAGAAGTCCAAGCTGCGTGAAGGCATTGGCAAAAAATAAGGCTCCAGGAGTTGACAGAATATCAATTGAGATGTTTCAACAAACAGATGCAGAGCTGGAAGTGCTCACTTGTCTATGCCAAAAAATTTGGAAGACAGCTACCTGGCCAACTGACTGGAAGAGATTCATATTTACACCTGTTCCCAAGAAAGATGATCCAGCTGAATGCGGAAATTATCAAACAGTATCATTAATATCACATGCAAGTAAAATTTTGCTGAAGATCATTCAAAAGCGGTTGCAGCAGTATATATCGACAGGGAACTGCCAGAAATTCAAGCCGCATTCAGAAGAGGATGTGGAACCAGGGATATCATTGCTGATGTCAGATGGATCCTGGCTGAAAGCAGAGAATACCAGAAAGATGTTGACCTGTGTTTTATCGACTGTGCAAAGGCATTCAACTGTGTGCATCATAACAAATTCTGGATAACATTGCAGAGAATGGGAATTCCAGAACACTTAATTGTGCTCATGCGGAACCTGTACACAGACCGTGAGGCAGTTGTTCAAACAGAGCAAGGGGACACTGCATGGTTTAAAATCAAGAAAGGTGTTCGTATGGGTTGCATCCTTTCACCATACCTTTTCAATCTGTATGCTGAGCAAATAATTCAAGAAGCTGGACTGTATGAAGAAGAACTCAGTGTCAGGATTGGAGGAAGCCTTATTAACAACCTGTGTTATGCAGATGACACAGTCTTGCTTTCTGAAAGTGAAGAGGACTTGAAACACTTACTGAGGAAGATCAAAGACCACAGCCTTCAGTATAGATTACACCTCAACAAAAAAAAACCAACAACAAAAATCTTCACAGCTGGACCAATAAGCAACATCATGGTAAACAGAGAAAAGATTGAAGTTGTCAAGGATTTCATTTTACTTGGATCCACAATCAGCACCCTTGGAAGCAGCAGTTAAGAAATCAAAAGACGCATTGCATTGAGCAAATCTGCTGCAAAAGACCTCTTTAAAGTGTTGAAAAGCGAAGATGTCACCTTGAAGACTAAGGTGTACCTGACCCAAGCCATGATATTTTCAGTCACATCGTATGCACTCAAAAGCTGGACAATGCATAAGGAAGACCGAAGAAAAATTAACGCCTTTGAATTGTGGTGTTGGTGAAGAATATTGAATATGAACAAATCTGTCTTGGAAGAAGTACAACAAGAATGCTCCTTAGAAGCATGGATGGTGAGACTACATCTTACATACTTTGGACATGTTATCAGGAGGGATCAGTCCCTGGAGAAAGACATCATGCTTGGTAAGGTACAGGGTCAGTGAAAAAGAGGAAGACCCTCAACGATATGGATTCACACAGTGGCTGCAACAATGGGCTCAAGTATAACAATGATTGTGAGCATGGCGCAGGACCGGGCAGTGTTTCATTCTGTAGTACGTAGGGTCGCTATGAGTCACAACCGACTTGAAGGCACTTAACAACAACAACAGATAACGGACAAACCCCATAATTGTGAGTGTTGTCTGCGAGTTCTCTGTGGCCATTGGAATGAATTATCAAACCTAGCAGAGAAATAGAGAGTGCCATGGGAGGGACAGCTGGTGTCAGAATTGGTAGAAAGGTTGGAGGTTGAAGGTATGTCTCACCTCCACCTCACAGAAATCAGCCTTGGGCTGTTGATGCTGATAATGTTTCTCCTCCCTCCTTGTGAAGTTAGATGAAGAGGTCCTACGCCATTTTTTACAGCCTAGTGCCTCTTAATATGTTAAGAGGCAGTAAGAGGTACACAGCACCATTTGAAGGATTCTTGACATAAAAATTCAACAAAAAACTAATCAAACCTCTTAAGTTCAACTGCCCAGTTTAGAAGAAAAACTGGGAGTGGAGGGAGGTGGGGAAGAACAAGTTAAAGTATACTATGGGAAGCAATCAGGCAAATCCAGAAGGCAGAACATCCTATGGACAAATGGCCTTTCTTCATTCTTTCCAAAAGCATATAAGGCTACGGATTATAATCATTTGGTGCCATCCTTAATTTTCTTTCATCCTCTCTCTCTTTTTTTTTTTACTTATAATTTAATTTTTAAATCCTTATTTTAATTCTTTTAAGATTATATGCTTATTAAAGGCTAAAATTCACTTTCCAATCTAATGTTCAGCCATAATAATTACTAATTTATATTTCCCTTTGTGAGTGTATGTGTGTGTGTGTGTGTGAGATACACATATATAGATGTATTTATTTTGTAGAAATATATGGTTATATATGTATTTATAATTACATTAATTTTAAAAAAGTAATGTGCTTTCTTCACTGACCATATTGTGCACATCTTTTTTATTTCAGTTAAGTATGGATTACACGATTAAATAATTACATTGTAATCGTTAAATGGATTATAATTTCTCATTCAATTAATTCTCTATCAGTAGACCTAAATAGTACCTTTACATTTGTTTTTGCTTACTTTCTCATTTTTCCTTCGTATAAATTACCAAAAACAAAATGTTGGGTCAGAGGTGATACTTATTTTGAAAACATACAGTACATAGTGGGAGAATATTCTGCAGTAATGTTCTGCCATGTAACAGTAACATACAATGTTTATATGAGGTTATTATTTCATTTTTGTTTTGCTTTACATCATTTTGTTTTTCTTTTGGAAAGAAAGAAAGTGTTACAGCTAAACTCCATTCCTTCCTCCTCCTTTCCAGAAGTAACCACTGTCTTGAAATTTTACATTATATTCATGCTTATTTTTGGACTTTTCAATATGTATGTATCTAAAAATGGTATATATTTTTGTATGTTGTCTTTCCTAAAGCTAATCTATGTTTGATCTTGTCAGTGAACAAGACCATGAGCTGATTTTGGTTTCCTGTCTCCTCTTTCACATCCATGGTCTTCTGACTTTACTTAAAAACAAAGGCATTTCTCTCACTTACTTGCTTATTCCGTATTTTCCTATGGAGCCTGCCCCATGATGTAAAAGCTTCCAGGGTGTTATACAGAGACAGGTGAAATACTGGGGCCTTATGTTAGAGTGAGTCCACATGGTAAGACAGACCAAGTGTGGACCCAGGTGTGTGTTTTCTTATAATTGAATTTGCTCTTAAATCCACAGTTTCTGGTCTGCAAGAACAAGACATTTTAAGTGATGGAGAACTAAGAAGTTCCCGGCTTGGGAGATCATTGTTTCTAAAAACAGTCTGACCTGAGATATATGATCACAACTTTCACAGAGGTCCAGAGAAGACAAGACAGAACACTCCCTAGAGTTATTAGCTCTTTCTTCAGAACAAAGAAAATGACCAAGGCCCAGGTGGGGTTTGTTTGACCAATTTTACCCTTGTTCCTCAATGGATTTGTGGAAGCTTATACAAAACAGCTTGATTAAACGAGACATAGGGTTCTTAGAAGTTCTTGACATTGAAACATTGATGAGTGACTTTGTAAGACTCTGTGAGTTACCTTAGCTATGAACTTGTATGTACTTTTCGTGGCAGTCATAGTGACAAGAAAAACATGAAAAGTTACATGATTTGCAATGTCTGTGAGGAGAAGACAAGTTCTTCAGGGAAAATAAACATTTTATTGCTCTTGGATCTTAAAAATTCCTCAGAGTTAGCTAAGTAAGTCATACCAAAGCAAAACTTAATTGGAAAAATTACTCAAAAACAGTTTTGCTTGACAAGAGAGCCTTCTGGTAGTCTGACTTTACTCAGGAATAAAGCTGGAGTTATCCAATAGAATGATGGGGTGCTTGAAGACGAATTCTTCCTACCAAATTTTTGTTGTTTTGGTAGACAGCTGCAAGTTCCATTCTTTCATTCTTAGTACAGATATGACAGTGCTCCCTTTGTCCCTTCTTAACCAGGTTCAAAAAATGAAGTAACATCCAAGTACTCTTGTTTTAATTTTCATATTTTTAATAATTCAAATGACACATTTGCATGGAAGAGATTTAAGCAACCAGAAATATTGTAGAAAAAGAGAATATCCCTTATTCTTTCCTGCCCAACTACCAATGCAAAAGTAAGAAATATGAATAGTTTGGGTCTCCATCCAGTCCCATTCTGTAAATTTACATGTGGTAGAACATGTTTACATTTATCTGTATACTTATACAGACTTCTGTATATGCACATGTATTTATACATATACCATTGTATATGTTATTAAGAATTTTTACGTCTTGGATCATAATATATACTATTCAGGGGCTTTATTTTTTTCATTTAAGAGAATGTCTTAGAGTCAGTATATATGCATAACTTCATCAGTTTTAACATATGAATTTCATAGCATTGACATATTGTATTTTTGCTCTGTTTGCTTTTAATGGAAATTTAGATTATTGGTAGTTTCTCGCTGTTATAAACAACGAAATAATGAACATTCTTACTGCACGTTGTTTTACATATGCACAATATTGTTGTAGTATTTTTTTAGGCTAGGAGAACCTAGTTAGTAGAATTCTGTGGTCCTGTGGTATGTGAAATAGTCGCAGTGTGCACAGTTTATCATGGGGCAAATGATCAGAACATATTCCTGTCCATCTCTTCCACATTATCTATTGATATCCACCTCAGATTCCGTTGCAATGTATTATTACAGGAATCTTTATCATTCGAGGATGTGGCCGTGGGCTTCACCTGGGAGGAGTGGCAGTTATTGGACCCCTCTCAGAAGGACCTGTATAAGGAGGTGATGTTGGAGAACTACAACAACCTGGTATCAGTAGGTAAGGACAGCATCACAGGGTCACTGACTGGGTTCTATCAATTATTTTTTCTCTTTCACCTGGTGAAATCTGAAGAACCTTATAAATATTTAGTATTTAGACTGAAGCCTTGTACGTCATAGACTTTTATTCTCCTCCAGAATAAAAGGTTTTTACTTACCAAAATACAAATAATGTGGTCCCTGAAATACAACTTTCTCCAGTTTCCATAGACTCCCCAAGCATAAATATTTGGTGCCAAGTGTTCAGTGATTTTTCATTTACAGGATACCCAGCTACCAAACCAAATCCAGTCTTCAAGTTGGAACAAGGAGAACCACCATGGATAGTGGAGGGAGCAATCCACAGTTGGACCAGTCCAGGTGAGTGAGTGACAAGCCAGACAATGGGCAGAAATGACACTAAAATCCCAGGTGGTCAGTGAAGGGTTGAAACAACTTTTAAGTGTTGGTTAGAGGACTTTTCTTGCACCAGCTGGTACCCCAGAGTGCTGATGAATACCTTTAACATCTCTGCTCTTGATTAGGGTTGTTTTTACTTGCCTTTCATTAAGGGACGATGTCCTCCTTTTTTCTCTCTCCTGAATTTGATCACAGTCTGTCTCATGTAGGACCTTGATTTCTTGCCTGGTTCCATTCTTCCCAGTGTCTTCACATTTTCTTCTTTTCTTCTGCAGCTGTCTTACTTCCTGCTCTCCATGTTTATTGCTATGAAATCCTCCTTCTCTACTCCTGCAGACAACCTTGTACTCAGCAGTGTTCATATCCCTGACTCTTTTGAAAGAGTTGTTTTCCTTTCCTGACGATCCACCTCACCTTAGTTCATGTAAAAATCACACACCTCGTCTCTTAGGGCAATTCTATCAATTTTTTTCTCTCTCTGCTTCCCTTGCTTCCCATATTCTGTTTATCTTCTGCTTGATTCTCATATTAGAAGTTTAATTCCTTAGTAGGCCTGAGCTCTCTGTTCTCTGGTGGGGAATCTTCCAAATTGACACTTGTGTAAATAAAAATTGATGTAAGGCCAATTTCCAAAATGTGAAGATTATCTCTGACACCAGCTACCCACCTGGCACTTTCTTTCTCTGACCCTAACTGCCAGGAGTTAGGTCATACCTTACAAGTTAAAAGGATACTGTCCTTTAGATCGGCTGCCAATGCAGCCTTTCTGTGGCCCTCAGTGACCCAGAGCTGCGTCTTCACAAGTTAAAAGGACTCAGTTCTTCTGATTACCGAATAGGCACATGTCACCCCTGCTGGCTTACTTCCCCCTCTCAGTTCCGTAATTCACTAGAATGACTTGCAGAACGAAGTAAAGGACTATACTCACTATAACAATTTTAACATAACCATAGAAGGATGCACTCGAAGAGATGCACAGGTGAAGTCTGGGAAGGGTTTTTAGCACAGAGTCATGTCCCCAGAGACGTGCAACCCAACTGCCTACAAATTCGAGGATCCCCACTACACCCTCAGGACGCTGCTTGCAGGCTCTGGAGTCCCCAGTATATATATACTTTTGACTAACTGGCTACAGATTTGCAGGTCAAATTTGTACCCCCTCAGGTTCAATAATTCACTGGAATAACTCACAGAACTCAGGAAAGTGTTATAATTACAATTTTATCATAGCAAAAAGGATACAAAAGAAGAGACACATAAAACGAGGTCTAGGAGGGTCCGTGACGTGGAGTTTCCATTTCTCAGGGAAGCATAATTCTTCTGGTGTGTCGGTGTTCATCACTAACCAGGAAGCTCACCCAACCTTCAGTGTCTGGAGTTTTTAACTGAGGTGTAATTATGTACACATGATTGATTGAATCATTGGCCATGTGATTGAACTGAATCTCCAGCCTTATCCCATCCCTGGCAGTTATGCTATTATCATATGCTGGTTCCTTCTGGTGTGGACTAGCTTCCATCCTGAGTCATCTTGTTACCATAAACTGTCAGGTGTGGTCTGGAACCCTCCATGAATAACAAATACACTCTAATCACTTGGGAAATTATAAGAATTTAGAGGTTACCTCCTAGGAATCAGGGTCAAAGACCAAATTCATTGGGTACAGTAATTTTTCACCACACAATACCGAGATTTAAACTTTACTCTGATAGTGATGAGAAAAAATCAAATTCCGCTTCTCTGACATCAAACTATTAAAGATCAATACTTTATATACTACCAACTGTTGCACTTCTGACACCAGCTGCATATGCAGCACTTCTTCCTCTGATCCTGACCACCTGGAGCTAGGTCAGATCTCACCACGTAAAAGACACAGTCCTGCAGACTACTAAGTCTGCCCAAGACTTAAGAAGACACCTGCAAGCTTGGCACCATCACTTCTTACCTGCTGGCTACAAATTTGTTGTTTTCCCACTACCCCTTCATGATGGCAGCCATAACTTCAGGAGTTCCCAGGGCTCTCCTCACTTTTCACCTGCTGGCTCTCACTACTCCCTTGGCTGGAATAATTTGTTGAAATGACTTATAGAACTCAGAGAAATTGCTATATGTACAATTACAGTTTTATTATAGCAAAAAGGATGCAAATGAAGAGGTGTATGGGGCAGGATCTGGGAAGGCTCCCAATGCACAACTTCCCATGTCCCAGGAAGGGACTCTCTACCCTCTCAGGTGAATTGGTATCTATCACCAACCGAAGCCCCTGGAGCGTCAGTGTCCAGAGCTTTTATTGTCATTATTGTTATTATTAGATGATGTGAAGACTGGTATCTATGTATTTCATAGTGTTAAACAATTTTTCCATCCAAATACTTTCTTCTTTCACTTTGTACTTTCTTTTTACCTCCTTGAAATCGTTTTTGGCTACTCTGGTATGTACTTGGAACTCCTTCTTTCCTAAATTCTTATTCTACTTTGTATCCATACCACACTAACTCAGTCATGATCATGTTATATTATTTTATTGGTTGGTATGAGGTTTCTTTAGCCATATAGAAAGAAAGATCTGTATCTTATTTTTCCTTCCTCAAGTTTTGTCAACATAGTAATTCACTGACAACATCATTTGCATCCATTCATCACATCTTTCTTGAATGTAGATTTGGTTTGGTGTTATTGTATTTCATTTTTGTTTTAATTTTTTTTTACTTTTTAATCAGGGTTGTGTGTAGGTTCTGTGGGATTTTTTTTAACTATAGGTTTTGTCTCTTGAATTTGTGTTGCTGAGTTATTAGGTATGAAAGGGACCGAGCATATGAAGTTTGAAAGACTTTCTAGGCAATTCAGCTTGGACCTTTGTAGTTGGAGAACCACCACACTATTCTCCTATGCTCTGAGAGAGATTCAAATGGAATGAAGGACAGAAAATACCATCCAGGAGAAACTTGATGTTTCGCAAAATGGAGCACTTGATTCTTCCCATGCCTAAATGTATCCCCCTAATCTTCCTCATCTTATTAAATGGCACCAGCACCTACATAGCTGCTTAAGCCACATATGTAGGAGTTACCCTAATTCTCCCCTTTTACTACTTCCTACATTTGTTCTAACAGTGAATCTTATCTTTTCCTCCCTATATGCCTTTTTCTCCTCCAGAGTATATCCTATGTTTCTGTATCTCCATGGTAGTCAGTCACGCACAAGCTACTGTTATCTCTTGCCTGAAACCTACCATAGCCTCGTATGTATTCTCTTCTATAGTTTTATCTCTGATTCTCTATAATACCATCATGTGACCTTTGAAAACATCAATTCAGAACATCTTGTGTTTCTGCCAAAAAATGTTTAGTGGCTTACTGCCATTGTTATTATCGTAAATCCAATTTCTACCAAAGTCTTCTTGTAAAATCTGTTTGTTTTCAATTCTGCCTACCTTTTCCAATTTTAACTATTCCTATTTCACCAAGCTCAGGATATTCCATGTCTACCAGCCTTATATTTCTTGATCATGCCCAATTTTTTTTCCCTCAATGTTTTTGCATTGGATGTTTCTTTCTCTTGTTTTGTTCTTCATATAGTTCTTTACATAATGGTGCTCATTCATATCCTATGAGGTCAGCTCAACTTTCCATCTCTTGTGGATAATCACTTTATCTAAATTGACCTACCATTACTCTGTCACCTCCTTCATACCATTTTCCACATTCTGTATTTTTCTTGTCTTTGCTTACCTGTTGATTTTTTTTTTCAACTATAACAGCAACTCAATGAAAACAGAGAATGCATTAATCACTTTAATGTCCCAAGCATGAACCCTTTCAATAAATTAATATTGGATGAATGAATCCATCCTCTACAATCTTAGATCAAATTTTTTTTGTTCTTTCCAATAGTAATTTGTTTTTACTTCTTTCTTCATTTTGCAAGGTTCTATTGGTAAAGCTGCCCAAGTTATATGTATTATTTGTATACGTCCATCATTGGTTCTACAGTAGTTGATTTTTTTTTATTATTATTATGGCTTTTTCCATAGAGCATAAGGGACATTTCCATGGGGTGTATTTCTTTAGAGTGGGATTTTATAAGACCCAGTCTAGACCATGGCATTTTGGTACCTTTTTTTCTCCCTAAAATGATTATGGATGTTTTTTCATTGTTCTTTTTCCTAGAAGAAATTTGGGCGATTGACCATATGCAGTGGCACTCAGAAAACCAAAATGAGCTTAAAAATTTGGAAGGATGTCAGCAAAGTTACGCACTTGGAAATAATTCCAATTTAAGCAAAAATCTTTTTCCTTTAACACAAAGAGGCAATACATTTGACTTGCATTGTAAAAGTTTGAAGGCTCCTTTAAGTTTTGTTATCCAGAATAGAAGATATGCAGTAAAGGATTCTGATGAGTTTAGTGGTTACAGGAAATCACCTGTCCACATGAAGCATGATAAAACTTTTTCTGGAATTAAATACCATGGATATGTTAAACCCAGTAGTACCAAGTCACAGCTCAATGATCATCATAAAACATATGTAGGAGAGAAATTGCACGAATGCAGTGAATGTGGGAAGACCTTCTCCAGAAAGTCACGGCTCATGGTACATCAGAGAACTCATACAGGAGGGAAACTATATGTATGCAGTGAATGTGGAAAAGCCTTCACTTGGAAGAGCTGGCTCAAGAGACACCAGCAGTCTCATACTGGAGAGAAACTCTGTGGATGCAATGAGTGTGGGAAAGCCTTTTCCCAGAAGGCATACCTCATTGCACATCAGAGACTCCACACAGGAGAGAAGCCTTATGAATGCAGTGAATGTAGAAGAACCTTCTTTTTTAAATCAGACCTGACCAAGCATCAAAGAATTCACACAGGAGAGAAACCTTATGAATGTAGTGATTGTGAAAAAGCCTTCAGAAGCAAGTCTAAGCTCATTCAACATCAGCGAACTCATAACAGGGAGAGACCGAATGGATGTCGTGAATGTGGCAAAACTTTTGCCCAAATGTCAGTACTCATTAAACATAAGGAAAAACATAGAAGAGAGAAAGTGATAAAATCACTGAAGGTGGGAAAGCCTTCCTCAGGGAATCCTTTCTACATGAGTGAACTCATATAGGAACAGAACCCTATGAATACAGTGCCTGTGGAAATGTCTTCTCCAGGAACTCAGCCCTTAAATTGCAGAGAGCCTGTAGGGGGTAGAAATGTAGTGATTGTGGAACAGCCTTTTCCAAGAAGTCAGGCCTCAGTAGATAATTGGGAAACATCACAGGGAGTAAACCTTGTAAATGCAGCGAATGTGACAGCACCTTCAGTAATAAATTACATCTTATATGTTGCAGATGTCATGTAGGGGCAAAAACCTTGGATACCAGAAATGTGGAAAGGCCTTTAGCATGAATCCCTTGTACTTTATATGTCAGAGAGCTTAATTTAGGACAGGAACACTATGGATATAGTGGCTGTGGATCAGACTTCTATGAGAAGTTAGACTTACTAAACATCAGTGAGACCATATTGGTTAGAAATGTAGCTATTTTCGGGGCCTTTGCCTGGACGCAAGATCTCAGTTGTTACCAAATAATTCTCACAGGTCTGAATGCTCAGGAAAGCATGTGATGGTGTTTTCAGTGATAAAATTTACCTCATTGCATATCATAGAAAAAGAAAGAAAATCTACAGACAATAACTATGGAAAACATTTTTAGTGTAATGTGGAAGAACTCATAGAAAAGAGAAACCCCGAAAGCAATAAGTGATGGAAATTTTATCACCAGTGTAACTCATATGTCACATTTTTATATCTCGAAATGTGGGAAAGGCTTCTGCAGTTAATGAAATATTCATGGAAACCAGGAATTACTTTATATAATGAAAAACTGAATATAACGAATGTGGAAATAAACTGTATTAGTTTCTTGTTCACTGCTGTAACAAATTACCACAAGTTTGGTGGCTTAAAACAATACGAATTTATTATGTTACAGTTAGGGAGGACAGAAGTCCAAAATGGGTCTCACTGGGCTAAAGTCTAAAGTTGTTGGCATGATGTGTTTCTTTTCAGAGGCATTAGGAGAGAATCTCTTTCTTTACCTTTGCTACCTTCTAGAGGTTACCCACATTCTTTGGCTAATATTAGGCCCCCTTCTATCTTCAAAGTCAGCAATGACCCAGCAAGTCATTCCCCACTGTGACACTGACTCTTCTGCCTCCCTCTTCCTCATTTAAAGACTCTTGTTATTACATTGGGCCTGTAGGGATAATCTCAGATAATTTATCTGTTTTAAGATCTTCTGATTAGCAATCTTTACTTCATCAGCTACCTTAAGGCCCCTTGCCATGTAATAGTTATTTTCACAGTATCTGGGGATTAGGACATGGACATCTTTGGGAGGCCACTATTCTGGCTGCCACAGTCTATACTTTGACTTCCAGTGATTCATGTCCATCCCACTTGGAGAATATATTCACATCCCTAAAACATATCTCAACATCCCCAAAAGTCTCAACCCATTACAGCTTCAACTGAAAGTCCAAAATCTCGTCTAAATCTTATAAATTCAAAAGTCTCAAATCTCTTTTTCCAGGTCATCTCAGGTTTGTGTGAGACTTTGGGTATTGATTCATCTTGAGGCACAGTTCCTTTCCATATGTGAGCTTTTGAAACTTAAGAAATAAATTATATTGTCCCACAACAGTTAAACTTGCTACCTTAATTCCTGTTTGCCATTTAATGTAAAATATTCACAAATTCCAGAGATTGGGACGTGGACGTTGTTGGGAGGCTGTTTTCCACTTAAAACAACAACTTCATTGGATTTCAGAGAATTCACATTGTGATAAATCCATACCTAATTATTAAACTTAGGCATGTTCCTAGAAAAATAATGATCTACAGTAACTATGGTCCAAATACGTGAACACTTTGCTATAATCAGTGAATCTTACACTGTCATTGTTAAGATATGGAATCTTTTTGAAATTGTCAGCCCTGGAGAAGAATTATTGTAAGACTCTCAAAGGAACATGAGATATATGCTGCTGAAATTGTTGCAAACAAATTTATATCTATTCTGGAGTTGCATAAATTCCTAAATTTCCTAATAAAACCATAATTCTAAGAATGGAGTGAGTGTGCCACAAGACACCTAAATGCTGGGCAATATTTTTCACAGGCATTTCCAAACTCTTTTTTCTTTAGCAGTAAGCTTTTAATCTGTATACTTTATCACTCTAAACAACTAAAGAAGTTGATAAAGTATATGAGATTCTCAGATACCGGGCAATAAGAATCTCAGGATAGCAACCAACCCCTGAGAGAGAATAAATGAAGTGGGCCTTATGATTTCCCTAGATTACTTCCTGGAGTGAGTTTCCTGGAGGGAGGGGAAACGCAGACATATCCCATCAGTCTCCCTGAGTTTGGCAGAGTTCTGTGAGGCCATGGTGACTCAAATGCTTGAGGCAGAGTACCATGGAAGTGTGAGATGCACCCAGGGTGCAAGAGAGAGAGTTCCAGTGGTCTATAGAGAATCTATATGGAGCCCTGGTGGCGCAGTGATTAAGAGCTATGACTGCTAACCAGAAGGTCGGCAGTTAGAATCCACCAGCTGCTCCTTGGAAACCCTGTGGGGCAGTTCTACTCTGTCCTATAGGGTTGCTGTTAGTCGGAATTGACTTGAGGGCAACGGGTTTTTTTTTTTAAGAGTTTCCCCTCAAGTCTATATAAGTTGTAATCAACACATGCTTGTGATGAAACTACCCAGGCTGGGGAAAGAACCACTGGAAATAAGCAGACAGAATAATCATCAGAGGTCACAGAGTTGGGAATAATTTATGTTCACACTAACTGGAATGGAAACTTCCTAACATTTGGGGAATCAAAGTGAATCTTCAGAAGAATGTTGCTTCAGTGAGTGGGTCATAGTAGGTCTAGACTAAAGGCTGCTCTGGACCCACCTAACAAAGCATGAATGCAAGCCTTTAAGGGTTCAAACTGTGTTCAAGAAATTTAACTGCTTCCCAGAACAAAGCCCAATAATCTTTAAAGGAATAAAAATCCAGTACCCAGTAATGTAAAAAATATACAATGACTGGCTTCCACTCAGAATTTACCCAGGCATGCAAAGAGGCAGGAAAATATGACCCATACATGGAGAAAAGTCAATAGAAAGAGACCCAGAAATGACACGATAAAATTAGTAGACAAGGATGTTCAAACAGCTCTTATAAATATTCCATATGTTCAAGAAGGTAGAGAAAAGTATGAGCTTGACATAGAAATGAGAGATATAAAAAGCCCCAGTCAACTTTTAGACATGAAAAATACAGTGGATGGGTATAACAGTTTACATACTCAGAAGAAATGGTCAGTGAACTTGAAGACATTAATAGTAAGTATCCAAAATGAAACAAAGGGAGAAAAAAGATGGGGGGAAAAATGAACAGTGCATCAGTGAGCTGTGGGACAATGTCAAGCAACCTAACATACATGTTATCAGAGTCCCAGAAGGAGAGGATAGAAATGGTGGGACAGAAAAAATAAAAATAGTGGCTGAAGCTCTTCCAAATTTGATGAAAACTATAAACACACAGATCCAAGGAACTGCAAGACAAACCCCAAACAGAAGAAAACCACCCAAGGCACATCATAATCTAACTCTTGAAAGTGATAGACAATCTTAAAAGCAGTGAGAGAAGTGACACATTGTGGGGTAATAAATTTAACTTTACCAAAAGAATTTGGTCTGTGTCCTTGGTTCCTGAGAGATGACCTCTAAAACATTGGGATTTTCACAGTAATTGAAGTGTCTTTGATGAAGCCTTCAGACCAGGCTTGAGGGCTTATGCTGATGAGGTGACTCAGGTGGGGGCTTGCCAGGCCAGAAATACCGCTGCATAATATCATATAACTGTGGGTAGGAGTAGGGGAATGGTTCAGTCAATCATGTCTACGTAATAAGCCCCCAATAAAGGCTCTAGACCGGGAACCTCCGTTGATTTCTTGGTCTGTGATAGACATCAGTGCACTTGTGAGGGTGATTTGGAAGCTTCACATTGGTAACCCTCCCCAGACCTTGCCCTATACATCTCTACGTTTGTATCTTTTGTTTTTTTTTTTTGCTTTAATAAAGTTATAATGGCAAGTATAGTACTCTTCTGAGTTCAGCTTTTTTGAGTTCTAGCACATTATCGAACCCAAAGGAGCAGTGGAAACCAGTAGGTCAGAAGTGAGGGGGATCCCTGGGAATTTCAGCACTTAGGGCTAGCATCCTGAAGGGTACAGGGGAAACCCCAAATTAGTAGGCAGCAGGTCAGAAGTATGGGTGTCATAGGTAGTCCCAGGCTTGCGGATGGCATCTGAAGTCTTGGACACACTTGGCAATCTGGAGGACTTGCCCTTTAAGTTTTGAGGTCGGACCTAGCACCAGCGGTTAGGGTCAGAGGAAGAAGCGCATGTGCAGCTGGTATCAGAAAGGAAGTGGAGCAGAGGGGAATACAAGTGATGATAAATTGGTCTGATTGATCCTTACAGTTCAGTGTTAGAGAAGTGGATATTTTGAGATAGACACACACACATACAGAACAAAGAATAGAACACAGCAGAGTTCTGGTGAGAAACAAAGTAAGCCAGAAGGCAGTGCAGTGAAGTTTTTAAACTGAAAATAGAAAGCTATAGGAACACCTGCTTACTTTGTAATCTGGGTGAATGCACTGAGGTGATAAAAATATCTCTGACTTTTTTTCCCAAATCCTTGAACAATCCAGATATTTCACTGAGATTTTGGCAATGTCTGTGTGATACTTAAAGATCTTGGGTTATTTACACAATTTACAAACACTGAGTATCCCATCCTACAGCACAGGACAACTGGAAAACTTGAATGCACACTCCTAGATGTAAGATGTAAGCACTGGGTTGTAAGAACCTGGATAGAAGCATTACAACAGAAACTTCATGAGCGCAGAGATCTTGTTTGATTCTTCCTCTGCTGCATCCACTTTGTGTACAATGGTGCCTCTAGCACAGAGTAGGTACTGTGCCCCATGTTAGTGAATTAACTGGACCTAGGCTAAAAGAGCATCTCTGGGGGGCGCAAACGGTTAACTGCTGAACTACTAGCTGTGAGGTTGGCGGTTTCAATCCACCCAGCAGCACTGAGATTTGCTTCCAGTCTACTTCCGTGTGGAGCACTTCTACTTTGCACACATGTGGTTGCCATGAGTTGGATTTGACTCAATGGCAACTAACAACACAACAACCTAGAAGACCAATCAAGAATGAAACAAAAATATCTGGTAATCTATTTAGCGTATTGGGGTTCTTTAAAACTCAGTTCTTGCTGCAAAGTAAGTTGAAGGTCGTAGAATCAATGTTTAGTACAGTAATAAGTGATGTCAATCATACTCATCCTGCCATCCATGAATGAGAATTAAATTTTCACTCTATTTTTTATTGGGGTCTATGGCTTTGAGGAGAGATCATTTCAGAGAAGGCAGGCAATTTCTTAGTTAAATATAAAGCATGGAATATGAGGTAAGACAGTATTATAATACATGGAGCACCTTACCTTTTGTGAAAGTCTGAGGCACTTCAGCACTAATAGTGACACTCATTGTATCTTAATAGATGCACGGGCACAGAAATGTAATCCTACGGCAGCTGAGATCTACACACCAAATTTTCAGGTGTGCCAACTAAGAATTAAAATGAAGGAAGCTTGCAAGCTCTCTAAGTGGAGAAATTTTTAAAACATAAGATATGTGGAAAGTTTTTATGATAGAAAACTACATGAGTATTGAAGATGAGAATGTAGGCAGTATGGGAAGCATCACTGGTGAGAGTTTGTGCACACATACAGTACCACTTCAGACCCATGGGAAGGGCAATTGAAAGATAAGAATGCTACTAAAAACTCTCCAAATTTTGTATGAAGCAAAAAGTCCAATACATATTATCTATGCATTGACTTCATTGATTATTTAAATACATTAAGCATTTATGTATACCATTACTCTTCTGGGTACCAGGAATAAAACAGTTAACAAGTTATCCAAAAAGTCCCCATCCCTGACAGCATTTAGCTAGATCATATATAAGTGTAATATTTTTACAGTTCAGCCAATGGGGACAGTGTTGGAACATGCAAACCTTTTTATTAGCTGAAACAGGCATAAATATTAGGCTGAAGGTTTTTATAACAGTAGGTTGGAAAGAAAACAATGTGATCTAAAATTCTTTTCCTGATTTCCCATCCAAATAGTAGTATGATGGAAAGGAGAATTTAAAGTATTTTTCTAAAAATTGCTTGAGTAACTCATTTTACAAATACTACCTCATTTGTTCCTTGTGTGAGTTTATTTTTCGATGGACCCGTCTTAGTACCTGCAGTCTAAATTCCTTGGTGTTTTATATACTTAAATTGTTCTCCAGCACAGAGAAAAGTGTCTGCCCTAATGAAGCTTACCCTTACACGTAATGGAAGAAATAGGTAGTAAACAAATAGTTATATGGAGAATTAATGTCACCTAAGGAGCCTTGGTGGTGCAATGGTTAAGCAATCATCTGTTAACTGAAAGGTTGGAGGTTCAAACCCACCGGCCACTCTAAGGGAGAAAAGACCTGGTGATGTACTCCTGTAAAGATTTCAGCCTAGGAAACCATATGGTGGCAGTTCTGTTCTGTCCAGTAAGGTCATTATGAATCAGGATCAACTCCATGGCCCACAACAAGGAGCCCTGGTGGTGCAGACGGTTAAGCGCTTGGCTTCTAATCAAAAGGTTGGTGGTTCGAACCCACTCACAGGCTCTGCAGTTGAAAGACCTGGCGATCCGCTTCCCTGAAGATTACAACCAAGAAAACCCTAGGGGGCAATTCTACTTTGTAACATGGGGTCGCTATGAGTCAAAAACAACAGCACCCAACAACAACAGTGATAAGGGCAGTAAAGAAAAACAAGTATGATAAGGATATAGAATAGAGAATGGTAGGGGTTGCTTGTTTAGAGTATCCAGGGAAGACATTTCTCAGAAAGTGACATTTAAGCAGAACTTCAGTGAAGAGAGGGAGCCAGCTATGATGATAGCTGGAGGGCAAGAACTTATTGTAGAGCTCTGTTGTCAAAATAAGGAGCCCTGGTGGCGCAGTGGTTAAGAGCTTGGCTGCTAACCGAAAAGTCGGTGGTTTGAACCCACCAGTCACTCCATGAGAAAAAGATGTGGCAGTCTGCTTCCGTAAAGATTACATCCTTGGAAACCTGCTGGGGCAGTTCTACTGTGTTCTACAGGGTCACTGTGAGTTGGAATCGACTCAGTGGCAATGGGTACAGGCTGTCAAAGTAGAGTTTGTGGACTCCCTTTGTCAGGATCACGTGAAAAACTTGTTAACCAGATTTCATGACTGAATATGACTTACCAAATCAGAATCATGATGAGGTGGGACCTTGGACTCTGCATTTACAATAAGCCCTGAACCCCCCATGAGATTTGATCTAGAGTTAGAGTGTCCCCACCTCAACTCTGCATCCCCCACTTCAACAGCATGATGTTAGTGCTGAAGCACTCCGCTGCAGAGATAGGATTATGTCCTCCCTCCTTCCCTTCCTTCCCTCACATCTGCAACCCAGCTCAGATTCCACTACTTTTCTTGCCATATAAGAAGCCACATTTCCTGTTATACCTTGAACAAGTCCTCTTATAGTCCCTACAGAGGTGGGTCAGAAACCCAGAATGGGCTCCCCAGTCCTGCCCTGAGGCCCAAGGTACAGATGCCTAACTCCCCCATCAATTCTGGACACCCTGCTGAAGCAAATGCAGCACATCACTAAGCCTGCCTCACAGGCCCCTGTTACCATCCACAGTGTCTTCATGGTCCCAATGAAGATCACTCTTCACCTGCTCCTCTGCACCTTTTCTGAGCTGAGAGACAGTAGAGCACAGCTGTGAAGAGCATGAGTCCTGTATAACACCATCTTTGAGTCCTGCCACTTCCCTTACTTGCTAGGTTGCCTTGGGCAATGTGCTTACCCTCCTTGGGCTTCAATATTCCTATCTATAATTGCGGGGTAATAAGGAGCCCTGTTAGCGCAACAGTTAGGCACTCAGTTGCTAACCAAGAGGTTAGCAGTCGGACCCACCCAGCAGCTCCATGGGAGAAAGACCAGGCAATTGGCTTCTGTAAAGATTACAGCCAAGAAAACCCTATGGACCAGTTCTACTCGGTCCCATGACGTCGATATGAATCAAAAATTGACTCGCTGACACCTAAGAACAACAACAGTACTTAGTTCATAGAGTTGTTATAAGGATTAGGTATTTTAAAATGTCAATGTTTACAACAGAACCTGGAAAATAACAAGCATGCAAATATTTAAAATTAATTTTTGGCCTTAGTGAAGGAAGGTGGAGGTAGACTGGAGAATGTGAAAATATTTGTTCTTAAAAAATGTTAGTCTGGAAAATGGGTGAGAGGGGGCCTCTTCTCTCTAGGCCCACTGTGAGTAGCCAGACACTGAGCTTGGTATTTTTCATAAATCCCAACTTAGGACCCTCTTAATAAACCTGTGGTTATTTTAGACTAGAACAATACAGATCTGATCTTGATGCTCCTTTGCCCCTTAACAGTTTGTAGCCTCCCATTTCTTTTGTTGGTTGTTGGGTGCCGTCAAGTCGATTTTCAACTCAGTGACTCCATGTGACAGAACTGCCCCATAGGGTTTCCTAGGCTGTAATCTTTATGGGAGCAGATCACCAGGTCTTTCTCCTGCAGAGCCGCTGAGTGGATTCCAATCGCTAACTTTTGGGTTAGCAGCCAAGCCCTTAATTGCTGTGCCACCAGGGCTTCTTCCCCATTTCTGTTAAGATAAATGTAAAACTCACTGAAATGCTGCCTCCTTCTCCATCTACTTCTCTCCTCTGGCTCCTCTGGCCTCCTTTAATGCCCTGAGTTTTATGTGCTCCTTCACCTCCAGACTTCTGTATGTGATTTTTCAATCTGCCTGGATGATTCCCCCTCCCACATCTTCATGTACATCTCCCCTCCTCATCCTTGAGATGCCATTTCAGCCATTTCCTAGAAGCTTTCCCTGACTAGGTCAAATTCTCTTGCTCTATGCCCTTTCAGAGCCATAACTTCATCTTTAGCCGCACTGATTACAGGCGCAATGTTCATTGATTCCATTCAAGTATACTCCCCAGTCGTACTGTGAGCTGCCTGAGGTCAGGGACCATTTCTGCTTTTCCTTGTCATTTCCTCTCCAAGGAAATTTCCTCTATTCCTAGCACATAATATGTGCTCACTAAATATTGGTTGAACTAGTGACCAATATTGATCAATAATTGGTCAGTGTTATTGTTCTTAGCTGCTGTTGAGTCGACTTCTGTCTCATGTTGACATTATGTACAGCAGAATGAAATGCTGCCCAGTCCTGTGTCATCTTCACAGCCACCAGCATGTTTGAGTCCCTTGTTGTGGCTGTTGTGCCAGTCCATCTCACTGAGGGTCTCCCATGCCCTCACTGGCCCTGTACGTTTCACCAAACATGACGTCTTCCTCTAGCTTGGTAATGTGTCCAAAGCAAGCAAATTGGACAGTGTTCTGTTGTAATCCCCATAATGTTTTCATTGGCTAATTTTCACAACTAGATCGCCAGGCTTGTCTCTCTAATCTGTCTTAGTCTGGAAGCCCCACTGAAACATATCCATCGTGGGTGATCCTTCTGGTATTCGAAATATCCGTGGCATAGCTTCCAGCATCAACATGCAGGCTACCACAGTACAACAAACTGACAGACAGGTGGTGGAATTGGCCAATAATCCTCTTAAAACTACTTATGAGGTAATTGATTGGATTAGCTCATGATAGTTAAGCTGGCTTTGTAATGTCATATATCTAGCAAGTGCTAAATCTCATATTGTCTGGCAACAAAACCTGTGATCTGTTCTTTTCACTCGCTCCATTAAACATACTGACATGGGCATTCACTACTAAATCAAGGGGGTCTACTTGTCCACTGTATCTGTATTCAAATTTGTTTGAAGAAGTCATGCATTCACATTGTTCAGAAATCAAAATGATAGGAACAGCTATCCACTGAGACACCTTGCAGTCACCCACGACTCGTCTACCTTGTTCTCATTCCCTTTTCTTCTGTCATTGACTGTTTTATTTTATTGTGCTTTAGGTGAAAGTTTACAGCCCAAATTAGTTTCTCATTCAAAAATTTATGTGCAAATTATTTCATGACGTTGATTGCAATCCTGCAATGTATCAACACTCTCCTCCTTTCCACCCTGGGTTCCCCATGTCCATTCGTCCAGTTTTCCTGTCACTTCCTGCCTTCTTGTCTTTGCTTTTGTCCAGGTGTTACCCACTGAGTCTCATATACTTGATTGAACTAAGAAGCATGTTCCTCATGTGTGTTATTGTTTGTTTTATAGTCCTGTCTAATCTTTGGCTGAAAGGTGGACTTTGGGAGTGGCTTCAGTTCTGAGTTAGCAGGGTGTCTGGGGGCCATAGTCTTAGGAGTTCATTCACTATTTCTTTATGAAAACACATGGATATTAGAATTCTTCTTTAGCTTTCTTTCATACAGAAAAGGGAACATACTACTAACATTCTTCTATACCTCTGTAGTTTTTAGTAAGAGAAGAAGAGAGAAAAGAAAGAAGGTGAGATTCAGTTCTGTGAGGCAGATTCAGCCATTCACTCATCAGATCAGCACACCAGACTTTGGGCTGTGTCTTAGTTTCTTAGTGCTGTTATAACAGAAATACCCCTGGCTGGTTTCAAACTGCCAACCTTTGGTTAGCAGGTGAGTGCTTAACCCTTGTGCTACAAAAACCAAAAAAACCAAACCCATTGCTGTCAGTTCTGACTCATAGCAACCCTCTAGGTCAGAGTAGAACTGCCCCATAGGGTTTCCAAGGCTGTAATCTTTACGGAAGCAGACTGCCACATCTTCCTCCCACAGAGTGGCTGGTGGGTTCAAACCATCAACCTTTCGGTTAGCAGCCAAGGGCTTAACCCTGGCTTCCTCTTGAACTACCAGGCTCCTTAATGATAGGGCCTCATTAACATAACAAATAAAATTATATTCCCAAATGGGATTACATCAATAGATAGAGGTTAGTATTCCAACACATATTTAGAGGGGAACACAGTTCAATCCATAACAAACATAAGTACATATAATGTACATATATGCAGAAAAGTATACAAATCTTTTATATAGTACCAAGAAAAACCAAACCTGTTTCTGTCGATTCCAACTTATAGCAACTTATAGCAACCCTATAGGGTGGAGTAGAACTGCCCCACAGGGTTTTCAAGGAGCTGCTGGTGGATTCGAACTGCTGACCTTTTGGTTAGCAGCCTGAGCTCTTAACCACTTTGACACCAGCACTGTGCATTTTTAGGGTCAGCATACTTTGCAGCCAGCACCTGGATAAAGAGAACCACAGTACTGTGCAGGGTCCTATTGTGTGAATATAACACTATTTATCACTTGTACATTCAGGCTATTATGAGTGGTGCGCCTAGGAACATAATTATATCTTTTCGTAAGCATCTTCCTTTGTTTTTTTTTTCTTTTCTATTTTTGAAAACGTTTATTTCTAAATAGCTTAACAAAACAAACCAACCAAAAACCCCAAACCTGTTGCTGTCAAGTTGATTCCGACTCATAGCTGCCCTGTAGGACACAGTAGAACTGCCCCGTAGGGTTTCCAAAGCTGTAGTCTTTACGGAAGCAGACTTCCACATCTTTCTCCTTTGGAGCGGCTGGTGGGTTCAAACCACAGACCTTTCAATTAGCAGCTGATCACTTAACCACTCTGCTACCAGGGCTCCTTCTAAATAGTTCAGACTAAGTGAAAAGTTTCAAAAGTGATACACAAATTTTCTGCATGTTCTTCTTCCAGAATCTCTAAACCGTAATATTTTACTGTATTTGTTTTATCACATTTTATCTATTTATACACACACACACACAGACACACACACACAGATAAATATTGTTTTTTTAAATTTATTATCCCTAAATACTTAAGTGTGATTTCTTAAAAATGAAGATATTCTTTTACATAACTGGAATATAGTTATCAAAACCAGAAAATTGAAAATGATACAGTACGATTATCTAATCTACAGATCTTATTCAAATTTCACTAACTGTCTCACTAATGTTCTTTAGAGTAAATAAAAAAATATTTTCTTTTAGACCTCTTGTCGTTAACTAGGTTATTCCTTTGCAGGCACGCTGGCCTACATCCAGAAGTCAGAACTCACTAATGATCAAACAACTACATTAGGAAAGAAATTGTATGGATGTAATGAATGTGCAGTGAATGCTTGTAAGTCACTCATGATGATGCCTCAGAGAAATTATGCAGGAAAGAAACCCCACGAATGCTGTGATTATAGGAAAGATTTTTCCAGTAAGTCACAGATTATTACTCATCAGCAAGCTCACACAGGAGAGAGATCATATGGATGCAATCAGTGTCAAAAAGCCTTCATTACAAAGTCAGCACTCATTTATCATCAAAAAACTCGTCATAAAGAAGGGAAATCGTATGGGTGCAGTAAATATGAGAAAGCTTTCCCTTGGAAGTCAAAACTTATTTTACATCAGAGAACTCATTCAGGAGACAGACCTTTCAGATGCAGAGTATGTGATAAAGCCTTCATGGTTAGGACACATCTCACTGTACATCAGAGAACTCACACAGGAGAGAAACCATATGAGTGCTTGGATTGTGAGAAAGCCTTCTCAAAAAAGGCTCAGCTCATGATTCATCAGCGAATTCACACAGGAGAGAGACCCTATGGATGCAGTGAATGTCAACAAGCTTTCGTTGAGAAATCGGATCTCACTAATCATAAGAAAACTCATCATGCAGTAGGGAAACCCCATGGATGCAGTGAATGTGGCAAAGTTTTCCCCTGGAAGTCAAAACTTCTTGTACATCAGAGAGTTCATTCTGGAGAGAGACCCTACAAATGCAGTGGATGTGATAAAGCCTTCACATCAAAGGCACATCTCATTGTACATCAGAGAATTCACACAGGAGAAAAACCATATGAATGCTCTCATTGCAAAAAAGCCTTCTCCACTAAGGCACACCTCATTATTCATCAGCGAACTCACACCGGAGAGAGGCCCTGTGGATGCAATGAATGTCAGCAAACTTTCATCCAGAAGTCAGGTCTCACTAACCATCTGCAAACTTGTCATGCAAGAGTGAAATCTTATGGATGCAGTGAATGTGGGAAGGTTTTGTCCTGTAAGTCAACTCTCATTATACATCAGAGAACTCACACAGGTGAGAAACCCTTCAAATGCAGTGTGTGTGATAAAGCCTTTACAGCTAAATCCTATCTCACTGTACATCAGAGAATTCATACAGGAGAGAAGCCATATAAATGCTGTGATTGTAAGAAAGCATTCACTACTTTGTCAACTCTCATTGGTCACTGGAAAACTCACACAGGAGAGAGGCCCTATGGGTGCAGTAAATGTCAAAAAGCCTTCTTTCGGAGGTCAGCTCTTATTAATCATCAGCAAACTCAACATATGGGAGGAAAATCCTATGTACAATGAATGTGGGCATATGAGAAGACTTTTTTTGTGTTAGTCACAGCTGACTGTACTTTAGTGAACTCATACAGAATAGGAATGCCATGAATGGTGTGACTGTGATAGAACTTTCTGGAACTCCTACAGAATGATAGCTGCAATGATAGTGGTAAGTCTTCCATCTGAAGGCATCCTTCATTATACACGTAGGAGTCTCATTGAGAGAGAAACAGAAATCCAGTGATCATGAAAAGGCTTCATTTGAAAGTCAGAGGTTATGGGTTTAGGAGGCAATACCCATGGATGCAATGCATGTGAGAAATCATTATCCTTGAAATCACATTTTTATATGTTAGGCTATTCATTCAGGAGAGGGACCTTACAGATGAGATGAATGTGGGAAGGCCCAGAAAGGTCACATCTCATTGTACATAAAACAACTCATGAATGCTGTGATCATAAGAGTCCTTCTCCAGAAAGCACAACTCTTTAAACCTCTTATACAGGAAGGAAATTCAGTAGATGCAGTGAATGTGGTAAAGTCTTCCCAATTAATGCCTATCTTCCTTATGTCTGCAAACTCATAGAAGTAAAGCCTCAATGTGTAGCGTATGTGGTAAAGCCTTCACCTAGATGTCAAAACTCACAAAGCATCAGTGAAATAAGAGAGTAAATTAATCCTCTTGAAATAGGGACTATGGAAAACCTCGTTTGGGAAGTGACATAAGTCAGGTACTTCATTCAAGAGAGAATCCAATGGATGCAGTTAATATCTGCCATTGGCCACAAAACTCTTTGCAAAGCAGGAAAGAAATGCCACGAATGCAGTGATTGTCTAAAATCCTTCATCTGGAAATCAGATCTTAATTTTTCCCTAACTCACACATCAGAGAGCCCCTATTCTCAAACAAGGGAATAGTCTCTAGATTCAATGAAAGTATAAAAGCCTTAAGGAATCATATCTCAATTCTATATCAGTGAACTCCAATATTGCAGAAATTCTTGATTATTGTCACTGGAAATGCTTGCTCTGGAGGGTTGGCTATCACTAAGCATCATAAGCTCTTAAAAATAGAAACAGAATTTACTCATCAGATTTTATGAATGCAATAAATGTGGCAAAAGCATCCGTGGTGAATTATGTTTTACTTTTGTATTTCATGGATTCATTTCTCCACATCCTACCATGTCTTAAATTGGAATGCACCTTACAATCAGTGGAATATCAGTTTAATTGCCAGGTTTTTTTATTCTCCTAGGAACATAGATAAATGGATTGTGTTATGTTTGATGGCATTTTAGATTTGAGTAATTAAGTAAGCTTGGAAACATATATATAGAAGAAAATTTTATAAGGGATTTAGCCTAATTGTCTAGAAAGGATTTCAGAGAATATTCTACAAATATTAGACATTTTCACTGTGCAGTTACAATGCCTTTTGGATATATGAAAAAAAATCACAAAAAAATAAAGTTCAGTTGAATAGTTGTAGGAGTTATATTGTGGACTGTGCTATGTAACATGAACTTTATGTATTTATTTTTAATTACAGGAAGAACTATCCTTTAATTTTCATGGTTAAATAAATTCCCAGAAAAGACATAGAATATTGTATAATATGATCTAGAATAAATAGAAATATTCTATTTTATTATGAATCAAAATATTTCATAATATATAATTTGACTTGTTAATCAGAACTCTAAAGAATTATATCACATAACTTTCCTTTCCTTGTTTTTGCTGTCATGTGACATGCCAACTGTGATAATCCATCACAAATAGAAGCTGACATTTTTCTAGAACTTTGTTTCTCTGAAGCATTCAAGTTGATAAAATGTTTACATTAAATATTTGAAAGCAAGCAACACATGAGACTGAAGAAGAAAAAAGGACTTGGTGTCACATGAGGTGAGTTCATGTGTCTGTCAAATTCTGTGTCACACAGGAAGATTTGAGTTAATAATAATAATGTCATTGTGCATTACAGTTCCTCTCTTCTTAGCATTTCCTAAAATGCCTGAGAACAAACTATATTAAGAATAACATTGTAGAAATTGGAACCCTTGGACATTGCTAGTGAAAATGTAAAATGATTCAGCAGCTGTGGAAAATAGTTTGGTGTTCCTCAAAAGGTTAGACATAGAATTACCATATGATGCAACATATTCTTAGGTATATACCTGACAGAATGGAACCAGGGACTCAAACAAATACTTGCATATGAATGTTTCTATAGCAGCAAGGAGCACTGGTGGCATGGTGGTTAAGCACTCAGGTGCTAACCAAAACGTTGGTGGTTTGAACCCACCAGCTGCTCCACAGGAGAAAGATGTGGCAGTCTGCTTTCATAAAGATTTCAGCCTTGGAAGCCCTATGGGGCAGTTCTTCTCTGTTGTATAGGGTTGCTATCAGTCGGAATCAACTTGTCAGCAACAGCTTGTATAACATCACTGTTCACAGCAGCCAAAAAGTTGGTAAAACTCAAATGTTCATGGATGAATGGATAAATGTGGTCTATAACCAAAGTCAAAACCCAAACCATTGCCTCAAGTTGATTGCAACTCATAGTGACCCTAGAGGACAGAGTAGAACTGCCTCAGGGTTTCCAAGGCTGTAATCTTTACAGAAGCAGACTGCTGCATATTTCTCTCACAGAACAGCTGGTGGGTTCAAACCACTGACTTTTTGGTTAGCAGCTATACACTTAAACACTGTGCCACCAGGGCTCCTTGTGGTCTATACATACAATGAAATATTCAGCCATAAAAAGGAATGAAGTACTGATACATGCTACAACGTGGATGAGCCTCAAAACATTATGCTACGTGAAAGAAGTCAGATATAAAAGGCCACATATTGTATGATTCTATTTATATTATATAGGTAAATCCATAGAGACAGAAAGCAAACTGGTGGTTGCCAGGGGCTGGGCAGGAGGAGGGGTGGAGACTGACTACTTAATGTGTATAGGATTTTCTTCAAGGGTGATGAAAATGTTTTGGAATTAGAGGTGGTGTGTGCACAACATTGTGAATGTACAAAGCCAACACATGGGACTGAAGAAGAAAAAATTGTACACTGTGCTACATAACATGGAGTTTAAAAAGAGAATATAACATTCAGAAATTTTATTCCTTTTATTTCACTATCACGTTTTACTCCATTATCACAAAGGGCTAATAGCCTAATGTGAAGAGCTTTTAAATGTTGAGAAGAAAAAAAATCTATAAAATCGGGCAAAATATTTGAACAGACCATTCAAAGTAAAAGGAAAATTTCTCAACATATGAAAAGATGTACACCTTTGTTCATAACAAGATAAATGTAAATTAAAGCCACATTTATTATGTCAATTTGGCAGAAATCCAAAGTTTATATTAATGCACTCTTGGCAAAGTAGTCGTATATTGTTGGTGAGATGGTCAACTCTAATTCAGAGGAATTTGAGGATAATGTGCATTTACCTTTTGCCTCAGCAATTTCATACCTAGGAATCAACCCTGAAAATACACTTCCCCAAATTGGAACATATGCACAAGGATATTAGTTGTGGCATTATTTGCAATAGCAAGAGATTGGAAATTTGTCTTACCTGTCAATAGTGTATTAGTTGAACAAACCACAAAGCATACATACATTGGAGTCCTATGCCATCCTGAAAAAATGAGGAAAATATCTATGTAATGGTATGCATTGATCTATAGGATATATTGAGTTGGAATAATTTAAAAATTTCACATATTTAAAAATTTTTTTAAAAGGTACTGTCTTAGTCATCTAGTGCTTCTATAACAGAAATAGCACAAGTGAATGGCTTCAACAGACAGATGTTTATTCTCTCAGAGTCCTGTAGCTTAGAAGTCCAGATTCAGGGTGTCAGCTCCAGGGGAAGGCTTTCTCTGTCCACTCTGGAGGAAGGTCCTTGTCATCAATCTTCCCCTGGTCTGGGAGATTCTCTGCACAGGAACCCAGGGTCCAAAGGACACGCTCTGCTCCTGGAGCTGCTTTCTTGGTGGTATGAGGTCCCCCTGTCTCTCTGCTCATTTTTCTCTTTTATATCTCAGAAGCGATTGGCCTAAGACACTATCTAATCTTGTAGATCTCATCAATGTAACTGCTGCTTATCCATGTCATTAACATCATAGTGATAGGATTTACCACATAGGGTAATCATGTCAGATGACAAAATGGTAGACAATCATACAATACTGGGAATCATGACCTAGCCAAGCTGATGGATATTTTGGGGGGACACAATTCAATCCATGACAGGTATGAACCCTAATGTTAAGGGGAGGGAGTGGTATCATCTAAAATAGTGGAGTAAGGACCTCTGAAAATCCTCCCCATAAAAGCAACAAGAACACTGGCAAAAATTGTCAGAATCAACTTTTTCAGAACTCTGTCCATTAACTTAAAGGCTTGCAGCTATGTGAGGAGCATCTGTTCAAAAAAGTGACTGAATCTCAATAAGAACTCAATATGCCTTGTGGCATTTCAACTTGCCCAACTCCCATTTCCCTTCCCCAGCTACACAATCACAGTGGAAACCAGCAGCCACTGGAGAGACCAGTACAGTTAGAGCCCCTTTAAGGCTTCATTCCTAGCTGTTGTTGTTAGGTGCCATCAAGTTGGTTCCGACTCATAGCAACACCATGCACAACAGAACAAAACACTGCCTGGTCCTGTGCCGTCTTCACAATTGTTACACTTGAGCCCATTGTTGCAGCCACTGAGTCCATCTCATTGAGGGTCTTCCTCTTTTCTGCTGACCCTCTACTTTACATAGCATGATGCCCTTCTCCAGAGATTGGTCCCTCCTGATAACATGTCCAAAGTACGTGAGGCAAAGTCTGACTATCCTCGCTTGCAAGGAGCATTCTGGCTGTACTTCTTCCAAGACAGATTTGTTCATTCTTCTGGCAGTTCATGGTATATTCAGTATTCTTTGCCAATACCATAATTCAAAGGTGTTAATTGTTCGTCGGTCTTCTTTATTCATTGTCCAGATTTTGCATGC